AGAAGAATGCAAAGGATGCCAAGACCTTTCAACAGTGATCACTGAGGAATGAAAACCAAGTCTTCTGCTGACAAACTAATTGTGTTGGCAGCTTCTGCATGCCAAAATCATTGCATTAAGCTATTTTCTCATTCCACAACAGCTACGCACATTTTTTGTTAACATGTGCAACTTGTTTCTGGCTCATATTCCAACCAGATGTATTTCAAATTGGTTCAAATCCGTGTAAGTCAATAAAAAGCTGAGATGAAGATCAGAACAGTCACGCTCTGATTTCTTTGAGCAATGGTGGACTGACAGCCATGTATGATCATATGCACGAGTACATGAATTTTCTCATGTGGAAACAAGAACGGAGTCCAAAATTTAAGATACTACAAATTGAGATTACTGTTAATGTATGTACCACACCCAGGAGGTGAAAGAGGTGTAACAGCCAGCTTCATAGGAGATCTCTGTTCTGCTGCAAGGGTCTATCTCTGAACTGAACAAGACTTGTACATGGGAAAAGAAACAAAACAAAAATCTGGACTGATGGGCATCTCTTTCCGGAGACAGCATTGCGTATGGATTGATAAACAGGATCTCTCTGGATCTGCGGGACTCCAGCAAAAAGCACGGGGTCAGGGAGCTAGAGCAGATTGTTTCCCTCAGATTCTTCCTGGCCTGTTATTGAAGCAAGCACAGCAGACCAGCTTATTTTCCTAAATGATTAACTTTGTGCCTTTTCTGCTCAGCACATCAGATAAAGAAGTTTATTCTGTTTCCGTATTTATTTACATTCCTTCGCCGAAGATCTCACCAAACAAAGCCTACTTGATGATTTATTCTTTGCTAGAGGGGAAGCTTATTTACAATAATCATCTTATCATAAACTTCTTAAAAGGAGGATTCAGAACTGGAATTCATAACAACTGAGAAAGCTGACTTTTCCAAAGAGGTCATTTTTGTTACCCATTTTGAACTGTGGAAGGAATGACGCCAACTAAGCCCAGATGGGGCTGGATGTGGCACAACCACTTTGAAGTTCTGTTTGTTTTCACTGGTTGACCCACTCTGCATTGGAAGGGATCACCTTCACCTAATTGGAGCTCTTCCAAATGATGAGGGGAAAGAACAGAGAGTATAAAGAATTCAGAAGCTGAGTCCCACAAAGGGTGCTCTGTAGCACAGAAATTGCACAAGAGGGGTCACTTCCAGCAAAAGCAAAAAGTGAAGAGTTAGGAATTACAAAGACAGCTTCTGAATGAGCCCCTCCAGTGACCAGTGTGTAAGGACAAGAAGGACCTTGAGAGGGCTGACAGTACTCGGCCCACCAATCTCCAGCTATTTCAGGCAGCAGCAGAATTCAGATTGCTCTGACTCTGGACTTGGGCCAGTCCCATTTCCCTGATAAGATGCTTAAGATGGACATAAATGTGGCTCAGAGTCAGATCTGCTTCATGCCATTCCTTCTGACCCTGCAGAGTCACACAGTGTTGGCAAATATACAGCCAAAGTCAGAAAGGAGGACAAACTTTTAAAAAGGAGAAAAGAGCAGTTCAAAGCCCAAGTCTTTGGGCTCTATATCTCTCACTTGGCATGAGCTAAAGTGCTCTGCCCTTCTATCACCACTTACCTGCTTGTACAGGGCACTTCACAGAAGGCTCCAAGAGATAAAATGTACTTTAAACAAACAAACAATTCACCACACAATTTTGTTGCAAAAGATTAAGTGTCTGAACACCATAGACCTGTCCATCTCTTTCACAGTAGCCAAAAGTTTAGCAGAGAGGGCTTGGGCACACACTGGACTGCCCTAAGGCTCCTATTTCTTAGGAACATATATGAACTCATTAGATCTCAGTAATACATCCTTTAACTTAAAATAGCTGCAAAAAGCTTGAGAGATCAAACTTTCCTTCTTTTGTCTCCTTTTAAAGACCAAGACCAAGAGAGCACAGACAAACAGCAGACCTCAGCCCAACCCAACCACCATGGGTAGCATGCAAAGTTTGGAGACATGGCAGCAGTGAAAAGAAAATAGGTTCTCAAAGCTGGTGAAGCTCTCATAGCAAGTGGGCTGGAGGCAGCCAAAGGGAGGCTGCACTGGATCTGCTTGGCTTCAAGGAAGGGGCACATCTCTTCCCACTGCTACATGCAGAGGCTTTGCAACAGCAGGCAATGTGAGAAAGGAATCAGAGAAATTTGAGGCAGAAAAGGATAGCCATGTGAATGGGCAAAGCTTCCTGTACTTGTAACTCCAGCAACGCAAGTGAGGAGGAGCTGTTCATTTCCTCTTAGCCTTCCACACACAGAATAATATTCAGTGGTGTTGCATTTGTTTCTCATGAGGTGTCCATTGCTATCAAAAGCGAAACCACCTATTTTCAGGAATGTCTTATCTCCGACATTTCTCAGCTGGAGGAAAGCCAAGAAATGATGCTGAGATAGGATGAAAACATCAATGCTGCAAATTGAAACTTCACCTCATGAGACTTTGCTCTTTCCAGTTCTCATTTTCCTCACAGCAGCAAACTTATCAGCTCTACTTGCAGTAGATGGAAATATAGTGAGGTCAGACTGGTGGCTTTTGTGCAGGGCTTTAGCACAGTGGTCATCCCCATGGAGTGCCTCAGGCCTCCTCCAGGTGCCTGGGAAATCATCAGTGCCCCCAGAGCTCCTGGCTGCATGCCACTTGTTCTCTTCACTGAGCACGAGCTGAGAACAAATGCAGCTGATGAAGGCTTGCAACAGGTGCTCACACCGTTCACCCTCCATCCACTTCACCAGCACAACAGTTCCGATTGTCACTGCTCCTTCCTTCAGCACCCAATGCCTACCACACATCAGGGCCTTCCCAGTAGCACCACAAGCTGGGCTGAATACCAGGGCTTGTCCAGCCACACGCACTCGAGGGACAGCTACACACCCCCTTTGGAGCTCACACAGGGCACATGCAGATGCCCAAAGCACATGCTTTGGAGATGAGACCTACAGAGAAGTTTTGACCTACAGCTGAAGTTTTAATTTTTTTCAGCTACAGTTAGGGTTGCATTGATATGCTTTAAGGATGGAAATGAATATGCACTTAGTCAACATACATTTTCTAGCTGGTTGGCATAACAGTTCTCTTTTGGACATTGCAAGTGGCCACATGGACAAGGATACCATCTTCAACATTTTGGACTTACTCCAGAATCTATGTGATATTTTCCTGATAGATGTGCCACAGCTCTGAGCTATAGCTGCAAGTTCCCACCACGCCAAGGGGCATGCAAAAGTAAATGTCCATGCTGCTGCTGCAAAATATTCAGGGATGTTCTCCTCCTCCCAGAGGGATTAGGAAGAAAAATGGCCAAGCTCGGGGAAAAGCCCTGAGACTTGTCCCTAGCTGCAGGAGAGCTGGAGGCCATCAGCCCACTGAAAACACATACAGAGACCCCTTTCTATATCTGGATGGGTTGTAGAAAAAATAAATAAAATGTGTCGTATCTTAATAGCAGGTGGCTTTTGCTATGCAGATGTATTTGTTCTCTGTACAGAAACAAATAAATAAATAAAGAACATCCTCTGCTTCAGGAAGAGGATATGAAATAACCAGTGTCTTGTCCCCATGCATGTCTATCCTCAGAAAGATATGGTGTGGCATACAGTCTGTAACCAACTTGTTTTAGCAGCTTCCGAGCTGGGATGAAATCTCAGGACAGGTGTATGCCCTCTGGGCTGTAGAGCTGCTCCATCTTAGCAGGCACTGCAGCACCTCACAAACATCTCTGAAAGGCAAAGATACAGGCACAGAGAATGCAGAACATGTCATCAGAGTTTAATAAAGTAAATTGGAAAGAGGAAAAGTAATTTTCAAAGCACAATTCACAGGAAACACAGGATAATTTACAGAAGCTAGAGGCTTCAAGCTGACAGTTCCTTACAAATTACTTATCTTTCAGGTTGGTCACTTGAGAGAAATACAGAACAGCCAAGAATCACTACAAAGGCATGATTTATATGCAGAAGGGCTACTGCTCACTGCAACATCTCTCTTGGAAAATATGGTGCATAAGTAGATATGTTCCTTAGAACAACCAAGTTGCTTATTTCCATATTTTGCAAAGATTTGTAGTTTTTCTTCGAAGATAAATCAATATTAATTTCACCACTGAAAGGGACAAAAACTCTGAAGTACGAGTATTTGTTTTCTTTATGATTAGCAAATCAATCATAACTCAAATATATTTACCTCTGTTCAAGAAAAGATATTAAAAATGGCATTGGGTGTAGTTTCTTTCTGACAGTGTCATTTTGCCAGGGCTTCTTAAAGTATCTATGGAAGTCACTTGGAAGTCACCATAATCAAAAGTTTGCATACTTGGAATAAAGAAAAAGAATGAAAAAAGCGAGCCTAACAGCCAACAGATGCAAATCCACAACCCTTATCCCAGCAAACTGTGCCTGAAGAATGCTAGGGAGGCTCAAATCTAGTTTCTTTAGGTCTCCTACTAGTAATTCTTGTCTTTTGCCAACAAGAAAGCTCAAGGTAACAGATGTCTGTTGGCTTGTTGGGAAAAGTATTCTGGGTTTCAGAAATGCATCTGGCGTTTATATAATTCAGACAGCATGCTGTTAGTATCCGCTATATACAACCAGCCAGCCTTCCCAACAGTAAGAGACTCCTCAGAGCTGTGCTCTACGATATGGAGTGGTTTTACTGAAACCATTTACTACAGGTTTTACTTCCAGGTTTACTACACTTCCCATCTGAAAATGGGTATTAGTTTTAGAACTAAACACAGAGCTTTTCATTCTAGGTCATCCTAAACTAAGCCAAATACAGATTTGAACCTGAACTTTCTCCTTCTGCCATTCCTTAAACCTAAGCCAGACAAGCCTTGTCACTCCTCTTCTTTACCTTACACTGAAAGCTCAAACAGACACACCACTTCACCAGAAACATCACATAATTCTTCATTTCTGCCATTTTCCAGGCTAACCTCTGCCAAAATAACCCATCAATAAAGCCCCTGTGTTTTTTTTTAGCTTTCAGATATTAACAGCTGAAATATCCTCTCAGGCATTATTTATAGCATGATACATTCACGTCCTTTCAGATTTACAGGCAACCTTTTCAAATGAAGAAAAACAAAAGAAACAACTGCAATCTTCACTTGATAACATTTATTCAACATTTTCTGAAATAAGCGAGAATTTTAAGACCATAAGCAATCAAATACAGCCACAAATAAACCATACTGACCCTAAATTAGAAGCACTATGAGAAATACACAATATTTCATGAAACAATACTGTACATCAACAACCTTAGGAAACAAACAACTCAAACCATATGCTTAGGTTACTCACAATATAAAAAACTTCAACCTTTAAAGAAAAATATAGATTCAGTCCAATTGTAGGATCTAATCCCATGCCCACTGAAGTCAATGGAAGTTTTTTCATTGATTTCAATGCTTAAAGGATCGTGCCCTTACTTTGCCTCAAGAGGCACTTTAATTATTATACAAGGCCTAGCCTGAATACTATTACAAAAATGTCAAACATCAACTCAAGAGTATGTTCCAGCAACTTTCAGGAAATAATGGAGAAATAGGCTATCTATCCATGCATGGAATAAGGCGAAAGCTAATTCATTCAATTAGGAATAATCATTTTTACTAGTTTCTTCTTCACAACACAAACATTTTAGACTTTTTTAATTAATGGATATATTATATATCATATTATGCTTCACATTTTTCCTACCTCTACTGAGAAAGCTGGCACTGACATGTCATAAAGAACTCCTCATTAATTATTGTTTTCTGTTCTGTAACAAGCACAAGAAACTCAATCTGGGTTTAGTAATAGTGTCTACCAAGAAAAAAGCACACACTATCATAAGCTTATAGTTTATAGAGCTCAAGGTACATTAAAATGTAATTCATGAAGTTCACAAATTCTGTTTTAAAATATTTTTCCAAACTAAAAGCTGCAGAAAATTGGTTCTTAAATATTCTACAGAAAATTCTGAAGCATCTAATGGTTTTAAATTTCTTATGCTTTCTTCTTAAAAATATTTAAATTAGGTTAGTAGCCCATCCTTTTGAAAAATAATCCAAAAAAGATTCACTAGGTTACAAATCTTTTGTCTTAATCAGCGTAACCAAAGGTTTGTCATCAGGGCTGTAATCTTCATAAGCAATGGGGGTTGCATCATACATTGCAGGTCGGGATTTCTTGCCAAACCTGGAAATAAAAGAAAGGTTTGGTGACAAATGGGAGTATGAACACATTAATGGCAACGACCCTCTGAGCTACGGCATGCTGTCAGTAACAGCCCAGAGAGCCTAGGTAAATCCTAAATTATACTGCAACATGCCACAAGTACAGATGTTTACCTACCTGAACTGGAACTTTAAAAATGCATGCTTCCACTCACTGTTATTAATTCTAATTATTAACAAATAGTAATAGTAATCATAATGATAATGCAATAAACAGATTCCACATCAAAGGAATTCTGCAGGAATTCAGCAGCCAAGTTCAGCAGTACCAGAATCTGAGAAGACTGTAGAAGTTGAGAGTAAAACTGACATATTTTCACAAGGCCAGATTTTTATTTCAGATTTTTTTATTGTATAGCCTTCTCTAACAACCTATGCTAAGGTCAGGTCATACATATTAACCAAAAAAAAACAGAACAAACAAACAAAAAAACCCCTCAAATCACAGATAACCTTGTTACATTTGCATTTGGAAATGCAACAGTAGTGCAATGAATCAAATGCCACCGACAAAGCATTAAAAATTGTAATTTAAAGGCTTTGCTCACCTGACATCCAATTGAGAAGCTTGGTGAAATTATCAGCATCCTGTGCAGTATTAGCAATTCTGACAAAATTAATGGCAGGGAAGCTGTTGCAATGCCACAAACACACTAATCTCACAAAGGTATCACATGCAAGAGTGCAGAGTGCAGAGAACTCCTGTGGCCATACCATTAAGGTTCCAGTGCTGACCTATCCAGAACTTGTCAAGGTGCCTTTGCACTGCATGGACAATCTGTCACTATTCTGATTATTTATTAAGATACAGAATGCAACTTGAATGTGGAAAAATATCTTCTGTGTTCTGACTACAATTTTAAACAATAATATGAAAAGGAGGCAAAAAAGGGTCAAGTCTGCCTTCCCTGTGGACCTGGTGCAGAGCAAAATATTAACACAGAAACACAAAGACTTATTTATGTAGTGATCTAAACAAAGGATTCTTTTTATTCCCTTCTTATGCACTGTATTAATTCAGTATTAACTTGTGCACACTGGAAGGTGAGATTCAGAAAAGTCAGATTTTGAGGATAATAAGTATTTAGACCAAAACAAAATTAACTTGATTTTCTTCCCAGATTTTTATGCAACCTCCTGACTGCTCCAACTTAATTCTTTGCTGTTTTTAGTGATCTGGAATTATTGGTACAGCTAAAATTGCTGGAAGCAATATAACGTTGGAAATCTCATCTTGCAAAGTATTTCAGATGTCAGCAAGGCCACACTAGATAACATTTCCATGCAGGAATATTTCCTTTCTTCTACAGTTTACTGTAGCATACACAGGCAATGTTCACTCATCAGCTTCATAAAAGATAAATCTGATTTTTTGTAGATGATATAAAATTCCAGGAATCAAATCAGGGAATCAAGTTATTGTATCTTACTAACTCAGAGGTAGAAATGAGTTCTGAATCACCCATTTTCTTCATCATTCTCAAAGGCTTAAAGCAAATAGAGCTTTCTCATAGATACAAACAGTAATGAAAATTCTCCAGGGATTTAAGTAAAATTTTGCCTTTTTGACAAGAACAGAGAACACATGGCTTTCTGCACGTGGTAGAACAGCACAAAATTTGTTCTCTTGTGTAGGTCAGGGTTGACATGTGCCCCTTATTAGAAAATGCTGAGAAAAGACCACAGCACATATGCTAGTTGTTTGTGGCCTGGCTGAGACATCTGACTGGTGACCACGTTGCTTTGATCAGGTGGCCCAGAAGCCAGCCCCTACTTGTAGTGCCAAACGCTCAGCTCAGAGGTCCTGAGTGGGAAGTTCTAACTTAATGGGTGTGTACGTAGTAGGGTTGCACAAGGATCATATGCTGTTTTACTGTTTAATTGATGAGAAAAGAAAGCATGAAACAATTACCAATACAGTCTGCAAGATGCAAGGATTAAACTGGCGATAAATAGTGAAAAGAAGAAGGTTCCTGCTGCAGTGAATAGTGGATGAACTAATATGCTGCTACTGCAAAATGAAAAAAGATTCCAATACAAGATTATTTATCTAGGAACAAAGATTGTACAGCAGATGGGGAAAATCTCAGTCCTGAGATGCACAGATGCTGGAAAAAGACTGGAGTGATGTAACGGATGTTTAACAGTAGCATACTGCATCAGAAGAAGAATTATGAACTTAGATATAGAAAGACAGCATATCAGGAGTACTAGGGAAGTTTCATGGCCTCTAAGTGTAGCATTAATTACTATTTATGAGTGATAATACTGTTCCAAGGTACCTATCAGAGATATTTACTAGTGGCATAGAAAGCGTTTAAAAGTGATACTGAGAATTAGAAAGCACACTTTGTAATGAAACACAGAATAAAATCAACTTGTGTAACTTGACTAAGAGACAGAGGGCTCCATGACAATCTGGGGGATAGTATATATTCAACATCGGAATTCTTGGCGATGGCAGCTCCACATCTGTCTGCAAAATCTACTTCAACATGGGAAAGGGTTGCCTCTCCACTTCCTTAAAAAAACATTTCAAAAGAGAGCTAGCCATGGAGAATCATTAACCTCACAAATTCCATGCAAGTAGAAGAACTTTGAGAAAATTGTATAGCCAATCTCTAAGGAAATGGTGATGTCTAACTTCGGTGACGCAGACTGCAGTTTGGAGCATGCCTAGAAGCAGAAGAAAAACCACCTATTGCTACTCTGCTCAAAAACATACAATGCATCCACAAATAAAGTTTAATCATGGAAAAGAAAAGAGAGAGATCAGAAGGAAAAACAAAATGCATACCCACAGGAGGAAGGGATTATTCTTTTCTCCACAGGAGGAGAATAATGAGAAAAATAATTTTCTCTACCTTGTTCACAAGTGGCACTGTGTGTTCCTTAATATTACTGAACTGTAATCCTATAGTTTCCATGAAGTTGAGACTCTGGCAGAGGGTAAGAAAATTGTGCTAAAGCTCATCAGATTCAGGAAGCCTCATGTTCTGCAGCCTGACACAGCAAACAAACACAGGAGTGTGCTCACTGCTCAGAATGTGCACAGCGCATGAGTGGGGAGCAGCTGAGCCCGCAGTGACAAGGTGACTTAATCAGACCCTGATGCACCAGGCTCTTCAGCTTCCACAGACAGAACAAGAGGCAGCACATGGAAGTAAGAATTAAACTACACTATAAGCAGTGCATGAAGTCTAATGCTAATGGTATCTAAACACGAGAAAATCTTACAGTAGTGCCATGGCTGTAATCAGATATTTTATGAAGTCAGTGTGGATGCTTTTCTAAAGTGAATGATACAGTTTCAACAGCAGTTCCTGGTTCCAATTTAATGAAATCTTATGGCTGTATTATCAAGGGGTCAATTATTTTATAACAGCATTCTCAAAATTTAAAAGCTTTAAAAATGAGATGAATATAAATGGAGTATTTATTTAGTCTTTGCATAATGAATATTAAAAACAGCAGTGCTTCACTTTGTTAGAAGACTATCTAGTTCTGGTCTGATAATTCTAAGAACATTTAGTAAAAGTATCCCTTTAGCACATTCATTTTCTCTTACAGCAAAAGTACATTGATTAGTAAAGATCAAATTATAAAAAAACGATCAGAAGAAAGACCTGCTAAGAAACTTGAACAACTAATTTTAAAATAATTTACAGTATATGCACCAGGCATTCATACTCCCTGGACACCTACTGACACTGTCAGGAACCTTACATTTAAAGAAAATAATCTACTCACTTTTCCTTTGGCCTACATTTCCCAAAATTACTAGCAAGTTTTGGTATCTAACTGAGAAAGAGAGTGATTTTCAGAAAATGCTGAGAAGCTATTATTTGAAAGTCAGGTCTTTTAATACGGTGTCAAAGTCAGACTGGGGTTTTCTAAATACACAGATTTGTGTGTTTATACAAAAAGAACAATGAAAGTTGTGCTCCTCTTCTTGGGTTGACATGATCAAAGCAGTATTTTACATCTTCCTGAAGCCAAAATGGACACAATAACCTTCACACCAAATCTCTCTAATTAACTAATTTGGCAGCTGTCTTGGCTTTTTTATGATCCATCCATTTTATGAGAGCCAGAGAAGAATTATTTGGAATAAATATGCTTATTTTCATTTGCATTTTATAGGACCACCTTTCCCAAGATAGGGAAAGCCTTTATTGTCAGGTTTCAATAATGTGATTTTTAACTGCTTAATTTAGATCTGAAAAAATCACCATGAGTACATCCCAGTTTAAAGACTTCTTTGGATGTCATTTAACCCCGATGCAAATTTGTTTTTCTAAACTTTCACCTTTTGTAATTAGTGGAGATTCATTCTGAGTAACCCAGAGATAAGTAAAAAGACCTGAAATTGTCAAATTTCCAAGATATAAATGGCTTCATACAGGAAATTTTCATTATGAACATTTCCATTACCAGCCAGTGAGACTCCAAAAAGCAGAGGAAATTCAGATTCAAAAGGTCCTGCCTTTCTGTACACTTTGCTTAGGTACCTTTGGATAGAAAGCTGCCAAATTTGCTTTGAGAAGTAAATAAGGAAACCCAGGTGTTTCACAGCGTTCCTCAGGAGACCGTTCCCAGTCTCTGGGGAAGAGCAACAGGAGTAGTAAATGAACAGGAATGACACATTCACCACTGCTGCACAAATAAGACAAAAGGTGTTTGATATGAAAGATTAACAGTTTTGCACTTGCTCTCCACCCTAGGAGATGTCCAGTACATAACAGCAGATTCACAAGGCCAATGAATAAAAAGCTATAAAGCATTTCGTGGGCCATAAAGCAACTAAAGAAAAAAGCAGTTCTCAGGATGTGTGTGCTATGGAGATGCTGAGCTCCTAGCAGAAGAAATGTAAGGCTGAGAGGAAAAAGAGACTTCAAGGGAAGACTTAAAAGAGTACTGATATTATTTGGATTACTATATTAAGTAAACCATATACAACTTCCTTTTTAAAACATTTACTGGTTAATATAATTTGACAACGAACAAATGTTTTAATGTAAATCTAGTTGGAACACTTTAAAGAGCTACTGCTCAAAGCTGCAGTATGATTAAGTGAGACTGTGGGAACTCCTCATCCATTTCAGATTGCTTGGAGAAGTTCAGTGCTGGTACAAATTAACCTTTTTTTTTTTTGCACTGAAACAGAACTGAAGCATTTAGAAAATGAATTACCAGAAAATCACTACCCAGTATGCACACATTTCTCCACGTCAGTGCACAGGAACATCTCTCCTTCCATTCTTTTAAAAGCAGTTTAATTGTAATATAATTGTTGTTGGAATTCAAAGTGATCTTGACAAAAAGAAATGGGAAAAAGGAACGACAAAAAATGAAAGTTCTATCCTATTTAGAGATGTCAAATACATAAAAAAACAACACTGGCTAGGATGCAATATGGCAAAAGGATGCTGGGGGTGAGGGAAGAGACTAAGACATCACAAAATTGAATCATTAGTTAGTGGTGTAAGGCCAATTAAAAGAAAAAGGTTTCACTTTCAAATGTATAAATAGAACTGACATAAATAAAATACAGGAGGTGATTACTCAGTTCTTTTGGTACAGGCAAAGCTTCAGCTGGATAACTATTTCCATTTTGAGGGACCACTCTTCAAAAAAGAGAAAAACAATCTGGAACGTGTCACAGGGAGCCAGTAAAGAGGCTGTCGTGATCCAGGAGGAAACACTGAAGGAACGGGTTGGCTTACTCCAGGGAAAACAATAATAGTTGTGCTTCTACTGAGGGAGGAAGGGAAGGACGGAGACCTGATGTACATAAGTACTGTAAAGGGAATGGTGATACACTACTGTGCATGATGACCTGAAAAACAGTAAGAAGTGGTCTAATGCATAGCAAAGAAAATCTAGGTTGGATTTTAGGAAAGCACTTTCTAACTCAATTCAACTACTTTGGAGATTTTTAAAGGCAATTATTGGCAGAGAGCTAGGTATAATTAATGCTACATCAATACAATGGCTTGCTCTTGAGCTCTTGAATCCCTTCCAGTCTGGCTTTTGTATTATTCCAACACTCAATGCCCTGGGTGCCATCACTCCATTAAAATTAAACATCAAGAGACTACTCTCTTGAGGAAAGCAAGTAAGAAAGATTCTCAGTTGGAGGCTAATAAGGCACAGAAGATGAGTCATTTGAAGAATCCAACTGAATAGTATGGTAAATTAATCAAAAAATCAACAACTGGCTTTGCTGTCTCATCAAATCACTTGCATGCATCAGTTAGAGAGTATTTTTACCCTAAACAGATCTTACAGGCTAAGAACTGCATCTGTCCCTCTTCACTAGTCACACCAAACAACGTCAGAGTAACTCCTGCTGCCTTCAAGGAGTTGTGCTGGGTTACCATACTTGAGCTGAGAACAGAACAGGGATCAGAAAGAACAAGGAGCAATGCCACTGATCCAGTCTTCTCAGAGCGAAGCAGCCCATTCTCTGCCAGCAGCAGTTAGATGCAACACGCAGGGACTGAAATTGCATATCACAACAGATTTCTTTTAAATTAACATCCCCAGAACAAACCTGGCATGTCGGATAGAAGCAATTGCATTACTGAATTCACTGTCGATGCTTCTACAATTGTAAAACTCTTCGTAGGCTGGCCTGGAAGAGCCTTGGTATTCGATACGGCTGATGCGACATATTCCCACAATTAGAATAATCAGCATCAGGACGAATGCTACACAGAGAGCCCCAATTATGATGTAAAGGGAGTGACGAGGCATGTTTGTGAGGCTCTCTGCCATGTGCCCGGACTTCCACTGCAGATCTGCCAATAAGAAACAGAAGGTATAATTAGTATTTTATAGTATGAAATAGTACTTTATAACCTTCCTGCTGAATGGAATTATTTTATTATATACACTTTCAGTATTTTTCTAGAGACTTTTGAGCCAGGAATACATAATTTGAAACTTTCCAGGCTCTGCTATGGATATCTCAGCAAGCCTAATGTGCAGCAAATTCAAACAGCACTACTTGATCTTTCAATCATCATTTTTGTACCTTTTTAATGATCATAAAAAATCATTTCTCTAGTTTGGTCTCCTATTTAATCCAAATTATAGAAAGTGAGCTAGTTATTCTCACATTATGCTTTACTAAACTGCATGCTCTATGAAGGCAGGGAGGTTTTTTATCTGAAAGTTTCCAGTGCTTTATAGATTTTTCTGTGCAATTTCTCCCAATAAATTAGTGAATGCTTCTACTAAAATATGATTTAATGCGTATTAAACGTTTGGTTTTATTTTCAAATACGGTGCTTTGTTGTGTCTGTACCAAAATGCAGATACTTTCAGCACCAGACTGTTCTCCCGAAAACCCTCAAATGCACCTTTCTTGCCTTAATTTTTTTTTATCTGTTATTACTATACAAATTCACAATGTTTTAAAATAGCAAGAAAAAACTTTTTAAAGTCTTTTTCAAGTCCTCAAAAGCTTGATAATTTTCACCTTCAAGCAAGGTGGAATTAGATTTAGGTGATCTCCTAGTACAGATCAATATTCTTGTTGGTTTGCAAGAGTACATTCTCTGACCAAAAAAATTCTGTAGCCTAAGTAGATAAGACTTTCTGTCAGTGCACAGATTAGTACAAAAAACAGGCACCGTGTCTCATACATCTTCTTCCTTAGCCCTATTATTTTGACAGCTGTATCAGGGTAAACAATCATCCTCCCTCACGTACAGACAAAGCAGAAGTCACTCGAGGAAAAAAAGACTGCCTCTTCCAGAGATGACAGTGCAGGTCGAGGAGTTCTCTTAATGTAGGCATGACACTGTGCTCAAGAAGCTTATTATCTTTTGCACTAACATCTTCCACCATCATTCTGCCAAAGACCTTATGCTTAAGGTCCATTCTTAGAATGGCATATGATCAGACTTGAAAGATTATGGTTTTGGAATATATCTGGACATGAGTATATTTGGAACCTTCCATTTAAAATGCCTGTACTGAAGAAAAACCATTCCTCTTTTACGAGATGCACAGCGCCCTGCAAAGCACAGGAAGGCAGATACGCATTCCTATGAAGGACCAGCATTTCAAGGACAAAAGGGCACTTCATAAGCGCTGAGCTCATGCCTAAGTTCCCTGAAAGGTCTCAAAGCAGAAATTAAAGTAGAGCTAATCTGGAAGAGGCTTCCTGTATTTTATATCCCCAACTTTTTTCTATAAATATTCTCAATGCCCAAACTATTGCCTGTCAATGCCAAGCAAATTATTTATCAATTGCCTATGTCTTCACACTTCTTTCTTATTAACTTTAGATTTCTTACTAGCCTGCACTTCCCTCTAGGGTTCATTTTTGGCAGTCCTTTAAGGCTACGGTAAATTATTTCAGACCTGGAATGGACTTGAATCATTCTAACTACAGAAATCTGACACTCTTCTCAAGTTATTTCTAGAAAGTGACTGTTCTTTTTTTAAAGGGACTTCTGCTTTACACTGTTTGGGAAACTCCTTTTACTTAATGACAAATGCAGTCTAGGAACAGGGATGTCAAGGACGTGCTTTGAGAACGTTAGCATATTCTTAGCAGCCACCTCTCAAGGATGTTGATGATGGTTAAGTGATTTGAACCCCTGAGCTACAATGACACGTTTAGTAGCATCTGTGGATAGAATCTGCATTTATCACAGAAATACAGGGGAACATACAGGTAGTGCAGGAAAAAAAAAGTCTATTTTAGAGGAAAGTAGAGGGAAAGTCTGAAAGATTAGCATATGGGATTCATCTGGGCGCTCTTTGAAGAAATGGATGCTTTTCTTATATAATAGTAAAGGGCTGTCCTGATGCACCCCAAGCTTGTGCTTTCTCACACTTTGTGTTTGCAAATTTGCTCTGTTCATGGGACTGCTTGTTACTGTTGTTTTTTTAAATCTTCCTAAAAAAGTCAAAAGAGATCAGTAAAGTTTCTATCTGCCTGAATCATTCAGGGATTTAATGTTTCTACAGTGCTGTTACTGCGATTTGCTTGGGCAGACAATGAGGAGCAAGTGCAGCTGTGCTCTGTGCAGTTTGGGATAGGTTTCTATTTTTGTCCTGCAGCACATTCATCACACATGGTGGTTTCTGTCAGGTTGTCAGTCTAAGCCAAAATCAGATCTCACGTGAGCAAATATATGGCAAGACAGTCCTGCTTTAGACTCTGCGTCTTCCATCTCTACATGCTAGGTATGAGAGATATTTCTTTCTTTCTTCTTCAGCAGATAAAAATACAAAGATTAACAGCTTATACTCCAAAGATTAGAAAGAACATAAATACATTAATAATTATAGCAGTGGCAAAGGTTATGATATTAACTATATAACTAGCAGGCATTAGAGAATCCATGAGAGACATTTCATAACCATTTTTACACCGAATGCCCCATTAACTTTTTAGGCAAATACAGTTCATCTCGAAAGAAAAATCTCTTACTTATAATTAAGACCAATTTAATCCTATTTAATTGGAATTGCTAACACTGGTAAAGAACCATAACATGTTCTAATAAATATCACAGTTCATCTAGGTGAATTACATTTCTCTTCACTGGTTGTTTTTTTTTTTTATATATACAGAGCTTGAAAACTGAAGAATGCCATCTGACAAAAGGATAACTCTGAAACCCTGATGGGATAGTAGAGTAGTGATTTCAGTTATTCAAGCTGGTAAAACAGATAGCTAGTAAAATAAAATGGGGAACTAACAGTAATTGGAGAATTTTTCAACAAGCTAAGTACAGTCAGCCTCCTTCATAGCAGCCAGTAACAGAAAGTCACGAAAGATAAAGCGTGATGGATTTAGTCAAAAGATTCCCTAACAGCAATCCATCTTGTCTTTTTCCAGTGTTCAGAGGATGGTCCAATAGAGAGGAAGCCAGTATACAGCATGTAAATCTAATTTCCGATACACTATTATCCACAAAATGCTGAAGCAATATAATAAATATGACAAGGGGCTATGGGGAGACCAGCAGAAGCAGATATACCAAAAGATTCAACCTTTAGAGCTGAGTAGAAACTCCATGCACCACTGATTGAGCTCCAGCAAGCCGAGATGTGCTGTATCTGTTCATAAAGGAGCTGGATATGGACTTTTTATTTCTAGACATGACCAGACTGAGTTCAGATCAGACAGACAACTCTTAGCTCTGTGCACAAAGAACTTCCCACAGATACATAGCTCTGTAGAAAAACCTGCAGATCAAAATGCTTTTAAATCCTTCTGCAAAGTGATTTCTTCAAAACTCAGTCCCTCTCTATTTGCATAATCCTTTATATACCTATTAAAATCCAGGGAGTTTAGGAAACCTTCCACAGCTTTCTGTATTAGCCACTATACTGATTAGAGAAGCTGCATGTCCATACCTAGATCTGGCTGTTGTGAAGTATCACAGGGCCCTGTAACAACATTTTCATTTGATGTTGGATAAAAGAAACTTTACTAGCAAGGGAAACTGACATTTGTTGATGATAAACTTACCGAAGAAACTAGTGGTAGATTGCATTTTTAATTTCACTACACTATTATTACATATATAACTCCAGCATCTGGTTTGTTTGGAAAAAAAATATATCCACAATAATTTCAGCCTCTTCAATTGAAAGCAGCTGCCACGAAAAATACAAAATGATTTATTGCCCAAATATTGAGGTGGGAAGGAAAGGACCAATATTTCTGGTTAAAAATCAGGCTTGCGGTATTATCAATGCCAATTAACACTCAGATAATTGCCTGGCTCTAGTCACAACATTCACAAGATAGAAGAACAAATCAGTGAAGTCAGTGAAAGGCTTGCTACAGTAATAAATACATGCTGTTGCTTCTTCCCATCATTTAAAATTACATCATTTACAAGCATGTAATGAAAAGAAATTCCAAGTTCTTGAGCAGCAGACAAGGCCACTGCTGTTCATGTATAACCAGATGCTACATGTAGAAAAATATGCACTAAGCAGAGACAATCTCCTCACTCAAGAGAATGATGTTTCAAGTTTAGTTTTTTCCACTCCTTCTCCTGCAGACTTACAAATTGGGTCAGAAAGAATTTATTTGACCACTCGCAGTTGTAAGCTTGAACCTCAGCTGTCTTTTTAGTTATTAGAGGTATATGTCCCTTACAGAGTGATGCAGGAATAACTGAGCAGCTGGGTGGCTGAAAAGGCTCCTTCCACCATCTGTTCTGCTTTCTCCCCATTTCCCACACTTACACTATGTATCTGTGGTTGAAAGCACCAAAATCTTAGTCACCCTAGGGCATGACAGCCAAAGGACTCCAGAACAAACATCCCTGATTTCATACAGCCCATCTGCAGGGCTCAGAAACATGCAGCCCTCCCTGTTTTCCCTTAGTTATTCATTCCATAACGTAACAGAAACGTAATTGTTACTATATGCAGGCACTCCCTGAAACATGTCTAAAGGACGATGATTGCTTTTCTAAGAACTGAGCTCATCTGTCAGCCCACTACTTAGCTAACGAAGACAGAATTGTACTTCCTTGCTCATTAACTCAGTGACTCCTGAGACATGCATGTCGAGCAGCCCTGTCAGTAAAGCTCATCTGATCCCCGCGTAGCACCAGCAATATTGCGTACAGCCAGCACACAGCACTGTGTTCCCAACACCACGCTGGGTGATGACATTTTGGGTTAAAGTAGGGACTAACACTGAGAATAGAAATAAACTTAAAAAGCAGTTGACATATTTAAGCAATGTTTTAGTAAAAAATGAAGCTTTATATTGTCATTGTGGAAATGATACATAGAAAACATTTTTTATTCCAGCCTTTGTGTAGACATTTTCTCATAAATGTACAATAGGAATTTTCTGAGTGTATTCTCTGTGTAAAATGCTAGAGGTGTAAATAATCCCCTCACAGAAATGTGTGCATCTGTGTAAAATCTTGAAGGGATCTATGGCCATGTAATCTGAGCATTCAAGAACAGCTAAAGTTGAGTAGAGAAGAAATCTGTAGCCCAAGAATGAGACATCAGTGAAATATAAAGTAGCCCTCTGTGCAGCAGGAATAAAAACTAATTTCTGTATTAAATATTCCACAGTTGGGCTTCGTATTTCCTTTTTCTCATGTACTCTCTACTGCTTAATAAGTGCAAGTTTGCACTAAAGCTTTCCTCTGTGCTAAGGGGGATCACAATGGAGTTTATCAGACCTTCCCTAAATCTTACTAAATGTTAGGAAATACTTTGTCTAAGAGACCTTTATCTTCCTAACAAATCTGGTGGAAATTAGTTCTGAAAAAGGTTGGTATCAGCATGTGCACACCAGTCAGCATAATTACACAGACCTGGTGGCCTAAGGGAAGCAAGTTCAAAAGTTTTGTGGAAACATTTCTAGAACTGCAGGTGCTCAGAAGTCAGTACCAGTCTGCTGTGTACACAGCTCTTTACACAAGTTGAGTACCAAAATGCTCTGAAGCATACGTGCAATTAAGAGACAAACTGCACAGTGCCCAACTGTGATGCAGCGTCTTTGACAATCTGGCCCAACACATCACCAGGAAAGGTGCCAGAAACAGAATCTTCCAGCTTTCACAGCTACTTTTGAAATGCTGTGGCCTTATCTTCATCCCGATCATCCTTATGCTTGATTCCTATTGTCCAAATCTAGTTCAGCATTCTCCTCTAAAATGCATTTGACAGAATTTTGATAATTTACAGATGATTTGGATTATTTTTACAAATATTTAGAGAAAAATGTAAATTTCTGCAGCATAAGCCAGTATCATTTTTAAAAGTTTTTAAGACAATTAAGTACATATATATATATATATATATATACATATCTTAAAAAAAACACAACTTTTTGAAGTTCTTGCAAAACTTACGTATTTCACAGTTTGCACCAACCCACCCATGTGGACAGTGACAAGTGTAACCACCGGGCTGATCTATGCAAGTTCCAGCATGGTGACATGGGTTGCTGTCACAGTCGTTAATGTCAATTTCACATTCTTCACCTTGTATCAGGAGACAAAAAAAAAAAAAGCAAAAAACCAACTTCTATACAGCAGCCGTATCACACATTAGACATGTCATCAATGTCATTTGATTTTTCTCTGCTTAATACCTTATAGCTCAAAAGCATCTTTGTTCACAGGGTGGCCACAAAGAGGAAGGCCACAATGATGCTCTGAGGGCTGGAGCATCTCTCTGATAAAGACAGGCTGAGGGAGTCGGATGCCTCCTCCTTGAAGGCATTCAAGGCCAGGCTGGAGAGAGCTTTGAGCAACCTGGTGTAGCTGGAGGTGTCCCAGCCTATTGCAGGGGATTGGAACTACGTGATCTTAAAGGTCCCTTCCAACCCAAACCATTCTATGATTCTATGATTGCTCAGTCTGGAGAAGAGAAAGCTCTGGGAAGACCTCCTTGTGGCCTCCGAGTACTTGAATGGAGCTTATAAGCAGGAGGGGAACTGACTTTTTACAAGGGCTGATAATGACAGGAGGAGGGGGTGTGGCTTTAGATTAAAAAAGAGGCACTTTAGATGTTAGGAAGTAATTTTTTACTCAGAGGGCAGTGAGGCCCAGAGAGCTGTGGATGACCCATCCCTGGAAGTGTTTAAGGCCAGGTTGGATGGGGCCATGGGCAGTCTGATCTGGTGTGGGGCAACCAGACCACAACTGGGAGGTTGGAACTGGGTGATCTTTAAAGCTCCTTCCAACCCAAACCATTCCACGACTCTAAGAACATCAAAAATATTCCATAAGTCCTTCAAGAAGCCACACAGAACCCTTAGAAAGGAAAAACCCTTGTTCAACCAGGTAAGAACAAAACTTAATGGATAAGTGACTTGACTTACCTCACTCAGAGTATTCTCTCCTTGCTTTAAATATAAATTCTTTCTAAAGCAAATACAATATAACAAATTGCCATTATATCCCAAATTGCTATGGAGTTCACAGATCACAGAATCACAGAATCACCCGGGTTGGAAGGGACCTCAAGGATCATGTAGTTCCAACCCCCCTGCCTAGCAGGGCCACCAAACACACACATTCAGATCAGGTTGCCCAGGACCCCGTCCAACCTGGCCTTAAACACATCCAAGGACGGGGCATCCACAACCTCCCTGGGCAGCCCGTTCCAGGGCCTAACCACTCTCCTTGTATAGAACTTCCCCCTAACATCCAACCTAAATCTTCCCTCCTTCAACTTGGATCCATTTCCCCTAGTCCTGCTGTTGTCAGCCCTTTTGAAGAGTTTACTCCCCTCGTGGGTGTAGGTTCCCTTCAGGTATTGATAGGCTGCAATGAGGTCACCCCGCAGCCTTCTCTTCTCCAGGCTGAACAAGCCCAACTCCCTCAGCCTGTCCTCATAGGGGAGGTGCTCCAGCCCCCTGATCATCTTAGTCGCCCTACCTCCCTACTATACTTGGGAATACCATATAAAGTATCTTAATGCTTATGAATTGTTTTGACTTTGTACAGTGTAAGTTGAAATATATTATCATTCTAATTACCAATTTACAGTTATCACTTCTTTGATGAAAAGTTGCTTTGTGGCAAGGACTCAAGAAAACTCGAATATGTAGAAAACAGATTATTCCATTTTGTCATCTGAATGCAGTCATTTGCATTGTTCACAGTGGCTTTGGCCAGCTGCCTCAGTGCCTGCCACCTCACTGTGCTTTATCACATGGAGACTGGCTGGGTTGTCTCAGATTCCTGGATTATTATATGCATATATATATTTTGTCATTTTACCTTTGGAGCAGATGTCCTTAAATTAATGTCTCAACATGTATCTGTCTGCACAGTGCATTTCAACTAGCACACACCTGCACACAGCCTATCAAAGCATAATTATTAATTTTGACTGGACAGTGTTTCACGGCTTTATTTCCTTTTTGTGTGATTTAGGTTACCATGGCCTTTACTGTGAGGAAGAATACAATGAATGCCTTTCTACACCCTGCCAGAATGGGGCCACCTGCAGAGACCTCGAAAATGGCTACAAGTGCTTGTGTCTTGCTGAATATGAAGGTAAAATGGCTCTCATCTCTTGTTTTTTGAATGTTCCATGTATTATTTTACTATAGGTTTGGTTAAAAACTGATATACAGAATCCTCTGTTGAGCAGAAACAAATCCTGCACGTAAAATCAATAGTAGCAAGCTTTGGTGTAGATCCTGATCCCATGGTCTTCATTCACATGAGTAGTTCAGAGTAGTTCAGACATAGCTAGCTTGTGTAGTTACTCATTTGAGAAATGTATGCTCCTGTATGGGGACAAGTGGAATCTGTCTGTTCTTCTGAAGTGTGCTTTTTTCCTACTGTTTTTAAGTTGTGCAGAGGGTTTTCAAAGAAAGAATAATAAAATTATTTCATCAGCTATTCTTGGGAGCCATTATATGGAGAGCTTTCCAAATCTTACTTTGGGTTTTCCTGGTGAAGTGGGTTAAAAACACAGTGATAAAATATTAGTATTCAAAGTAGATTAGCACAGAGGAGTAAAAAGGGAAGTTTTTATTTTGGCTGTTCGTTTAGAAGACCATAAAGCCCAGTAGCAATAGTTCTGTGACTGCTTTACCACATTAAGCACATCTGGTCCTGGACATATTTGAATGGAATCTGTCTTCAGTGTTTCACAAATGATTTAAATATAGAGCAGGAAAGTATGTGCTTTACTGTACAAAATCTTTTATCTTGCACTAGATTTCAGCTTTAGACAGTGTAGCACTTTACCATTCTGTGATACATCCATCCCTCTGTGGAGGGCTAAAACACTGCTTTGTTTTGTGTGTTCTGTTTGGAGTTGTGCTGTGAGAATATTTTGAACTTATGTATTATTTCTATTATATATCTATAAACACGGAATGATTATGTTTTAAGGAACATTACCCCAGCATTTTTTCTCATTAAGAGTATCAGCCTTTATCCATGTTGATAAGTAATGGTCATTTAACAGCTTTTTGAGGCTAAATATTCATTCCATGCTGCTGATTGCACTGTTCTTTGTCAATAAAGAATTCATCACTGAAGAGGTGTAGTCAGATGACCCTCAGCTTTTCATAACAGGAGCATTTAAGGAGCACTTAATCATAACATTATGACTTCATCTTTTGCTTTCAACCAGTCTGTACGTGCAAGTGAGAGCTCTGTGAATTCAGCATATTTTGCTTCAAATTAAAGCATTAGACCTGGTCATCTGAACAGTTTTTGCTGATTACTGAGCTTTCTTCTTTCCACACTTAATGTATGCAGTGTTCCTAATGAACAGAGCAGAGGTAACTGGCTCCAGATATTATGTGGGCTATTATGTGGGCTTCAATTTTACTAACGCCTCTCCCTGTCTGCAGTCCTCCTCCGTGCCCCTGCCTTCTTCTGGACAGACTCCTGGTAGCTCCCAACATGCAAACGTGGCTCCTGACTCTGCTGGCCTCCTCTGCTTTGCTGCAGAAGTAGACGCTGACTAACTCAAGTGTTTACTTATAGCTATGCATTTGAATAAATTAATTTATCTTCTTAATTGCCTCAGCTGGGCTCCTCCATTTCCTGCGAAGGTCAATGAGAGGCATCAGAATGCTTATGCATATAATTACATTTTTATGTTCAGTTATTACTGAAGATGATTATTGTTTAAATTTTATTGAAGAATAGCTGATCGGATTATGCATCACTATGTCATTGTTTTTTGTAGAAACTCCAGCAGGTCTTGTTAGCAGAAATTGCCCTACCTCCCTCATGGGTCATAAGGGCAGTGGGAAAGCACATGCATTAAAGCTTCAGCACCCCAGAATGTATGGCTGCAGTCATACGGCAGGCTTGGAAGTTGCACATCATTGCACTCCTCCAGATGAAGTTACCACCTGTTCTGATTCCAGACAGTCAATGTGCATAATGTTAACAGCAGTTACTAATTTTTCCTTTTCAGGAAGTCTCTGTGAATTATACAAAGATCCTTGTGTTAACATCAACTGTCAGAATGGTGGCACTTGTGACAGTGAAGGGCTGAATGCCACATGTATTTGTGCACCTGGATACGCAGGCAAGTAATTTGTGCCTTACACAGGATGTTTAGTTGACAGTGTTTACCATGTCCGAAAAGAAGACAAACACCAAATAAGACAGCATCTCTTGAAGGACACTAATTAATTTGGATAGTGGTGGATTGTAGTCAGTCTAGTGGGAATAAAAATGTATTGATATTTCTTGCAATTCCTTTCAAATTAAAAAGTTTTGTAGTAAAAAAGTATGTTGTTGAAGGGAATTCACTAGGCAAACGTCTGTCTAGTGTACTTTCTGAGACTAGACTTCTGCTTAAGACTAGATTGAATTTTAAAAATAAAATTGTGAAGAGTTTCAGGTAAGCCAATATACTAATTGGACACTTGAAACTGGAAGATGTTGTAACCTTGACCCATTAATTACTGTGAACTGAAGAAACCACTCATTCTGTTACCTGAATATACAATCTCTAAAAGCCCTGAAGTGCTTGTTACAAATCAGTTTGTACTTTGAGTAATGATAAGCAGCCCATTTAATCCTTTGGCCTTATATTTAAACTGATATGATTTGTGTAATCAAAATATCTGCCATAATATATTCTAGAATTTGATGCTCTGTTAGTCATATAAGGTAGCATCCAAGTGATAGTAATAGATGAACCTATTCATAGCCTTTTGTAGATCAAATAGTGCTTTTTTTGCTGTGATAAAGGCCATAAAAAAAAAAAAGCTTTCTGTTGCACAGCGGCAGTTTCTTAGAGGCACTTATTATCTACATTATAATAACTCCAGCAGGGACAGGGAGGTGATCGTTCCTCTCTACTCGGCTCTTGTGAGGCCCCATCTGGAGTACTGTGTCCAGGTGTGGAGCCCTCAGTACAAGAAAGACATTGAGATTTTGGAAAGGGTCCAGAGGAGGGCGACTAAGATGATCAGGGGGCTGGAGCACCTCCCCTATGAGGACAGGCTGAGGGAGTTGGGCTTGTTCAGCCTGGAGAAGAGAAGGCTGCGGGGTGACCTCATTGCAGCCTATCAATACCTGAAGGGAACCTACACCCACGAGGGGAGTAAACTCTTCAAAAGGGCTGACAACAGCAGGACTAGGGGAAATGGATCCAAGTTGAAGGAGGGAAGATTTAGGTTGGATGTTAGGGGGAAGTTCTATACAAGGAGAGTGGTTAGGCCCTGGAACGGGCTGCCCAGGGAGGTTGTGGATGCCCCGTCCTTGGATGTGTTTAAGGCCAGGTTGGACGGGGTCCTGGGCAACCTGATCTGAATGTGTGTGTTTGGTGGCCCTGCTAGGCAGGGGGGTTGGAACTACATGATCCTTGAGGTCCCTTCCAACCCGGGTGATTCTGTGTATTATGGTCTGGCTATTCAGACAAAGAAAATTTGAGCACTGAATAGTTTTGAGGCTTGTTAAGGGCCACTCACTTTTACCATAAAATACAAAAAAGGGAGATAATCTGCTTGAAATATACATATGATCATCAGTCTTAACAGTAGTTAAAAATCTTTCTAGAAAATATTTCTAGGAAATAAACTGGTCACAATTCTCAGTAAGTATAAATAATGTGATTAAATGCAACATAAACATTGCTTCCTCCCTGTAAACAGGTATGTGTGACCAATGAAAAAGGCAATCTGCTCAGGTGTTTCTAAGCAGTTATTTCCCACTCATCTGAGATTCAGGGAGTGCTTCATAATTAGCCAAATAACCTTTAGGGGAAGGCTTAGAATTTAAGAGTACAAACAAAAGATGTTCTTTCTTCAAAGTACAAACACAAATAGTATGAAGATTTGTTCTAATACATGCATTTTTCATAATGTTTGTATCCCTTCTGGAAATTACGGCAAACAAAGAGTTAAAAGAATTTTGCATTTTCTACCACATCTCTCTCTTCAACTGCTCAATATGTTCTGCTACCAATTTCATGCCACAGGACCATACAGCTTGCCTGCAAACTGGTCAGGAAGTTAGAATCAACTCAATTGAGTGGATAATGAAGACAAATGATTGCCTTTTGTGTTTTCTTAAATAATTTGGCATCGTGAAAACATGGCACTATCTCTTCTTTCCTCACCTGTGGGAAAACTGAGGATAAGCATTCTAGTCTAACAACAAAAGCAGCTGTTAAACGTTTAACCCTCTTCCCTCGTTGCAGCCAGTATTTCTCTTGTTACTGTGATGCAATACAGCGAATACGTATTTGTAATCTACATTATAATGCTGTGTGTTGTAATAGGTTTTCTATGGTCTTTAAGATCTTTATTTACTTGTTACATACAACCATAAAAGTAGTAGATAAATGACCATATCATAAATTCAGATTTTATGGACATGAATAAAGACTCCAGGGAAAAGGACTTAGTAAGCTGGACTTACTAAGACACATTTCAGAACCATTTTCTCCAAAGCCAGAAGATGCATCTCCCCCATGTGCAGGCCCCCAGGCCCTCACCCACAGCACTGCACCTGCTGGCACTGAGTCTCCTCCTGCAGCTCTTCAGAAGGGCTTCTCTTCACACTTGCTTTTAAATTACACTGGTGTATGAGCCATGCATGGTACTGGATGCAGAAGCAGATCATTCAAGCTAACTATTTGTGGGTTTGTTCTATTAAAGAATTGAGATGGAATTGGGAGAATATTTCAGAAATAAATTCAGAATAACAGATTACAGCACAGTTGCTTCATTTGTAGCACAAGCATTAAACTCACAAGCAATACCAAATACAGCTATTTGCCTACCATGATGTGTATAACATTTCTATGGACATGTTCAGAAAGGAATGCCATGTACATTAACAACACTACTCTAGCTGCTGCGTCCTGAACAAGAGAAAACAAGTTTGTCATTGTGGCTTTAAAAAGGACACCTAAAAAGATTAAATTATTTTTCCAGGTCACTACAAAGTGAATATACCTTGAGTTTCATGCACATCAGCAGAATCTGCCATTGACAGTTTCACTTTGATGTGCTCTCTTCAGAGGCTGGGAAAGGAATAGTGAACCTAAAAGGTACAATAAAATAAAGATGTCCCCGCATTACCTCTTCTCCTTCTAAACAACTGTCCTTTGTTATCCATCTTCACAAGGGCAGTAACAGATCTGCTGCCACTCTCACCTGGATTCCCAAATCCTTCCTGTGAAGCAACAGGGAGGCATGGGCTACAGACAACTACCTGTGCTAAGGCACTTTTCAACATGGCTGTGTCAAAAATTACAAAGGGAAAGAACATGAAAGGGAACACAAAATCTGTATCAAGCAGGCTGATGAGAAGCCATGGGCTTTGTCAGAACCTTCAAGAACAAGCTGATGGGGCAAAAGATACAGCAGTGTCTGCCGACCTCCTGAGAATATCTGCGCTAACAGGTTAACAAAAGGGAGAGAGATGCTTCCTCTCTCTTTGTAAGTCGATAAAGAACAAGGTTGAAAGCTTTTGAAGGTCTCTCACACACTGCCTCCTTGGCAGCGATTCCTGTGCTTATCCACACTTAACACTTTAGCAAATTAAGACAGTAGGACAAAAGCCATTTTTATTGGGAAGGCCTAATGGGATAAAAAGCAAAAGAGAACTCTAATTCACAAGGAACATCAGTTCATACACAGCTCCTTACTAACCTAGTTGTATATTATGTGATCAAGAAACAAATCTGTTCATTTAAAACCTAACTCAGAAACGCTGACTATTTTTCTTTCCCAATTTGGAAATGAGATTATTCAAAGGCATCAGTCAGCTTTCCAAGTTAATTTATACAAATTAGCGTTCCTGTACAAGCTATTACATGGTGCAGGTTATGCATGACTATACTCATGAGAGTCAACACACGCACAAAAATCAGTAGCGAATGCCTGGTTGTGAGCATTCTGCAAAACGTGATATGCAAGATATACAAGCATAATAGCCACGACTTCTCATTCATCATGTGTTTTTGGCCAGTGTACCAATCTAGAAATCAAACTGCCTACTAAGCAAGGGAACTTTCGCAGACCTTAGTTTAATTGGAACTGTTTAAAATTCCTCTCCTGTTTAATTTTCGAGGCAAGAGTAACAAAAATGAAAATCCAGATGACACTGTATACCTGCTAGTAGAAACTGCATAAAGAAAGGATGGCATTCAAGTTGAAAAAAGAAGCAAAATTTTGCAGCACTTTGCTTTTATAATAAGAAATTACATCCTCTGTCAAATACCATATAAAAAGAACATGGCATCATCACACAAAAAATAAGTTGCTGCTTTCTTTTTTAAACAGTGAGTTTCAGATATAATGCATAAGCAATATATAAGGGAGTTCTAAAACATTATTTAGTAAACTTACTGCTAACATACCTGTATTATGTGCATTTATTTTGTGGTATATTTGAAAGTGAGAGACTCCCATACAAAAAAAAGTCTTGGAGCGAGGCATACTCATGTTGAGAACCTGCAAGCCAGAGAGCCTGCAAGCTCAAGAAGTAGATATCATTTCTTTCCCACTAATGTATGGTAATGTCTCTCTGTAGTTCAGAATATTTATTATTAACTTTTGATAATGCTACCAAGCTGCACACAAATTTTATTCACCAACATCACAAGCATTGCAACAGGCTGTCAGAGTCTTTGCTGGTTTTCCCAGACCGAGACACTGAGTGCTGCTTCCAGGAATGTCACTGGAGGGTCCTTGGACAGCTCTGCAAATCCAATCCCTTTTTATACTAGGCATTTCAAAGACAGTTTTTACACTAATTGGGAAGGTGAGGCTGCTGGAGACTTTTTGTATTGCTTATACACGGGTGTATAACCAAGATGTTATAATTTTGTATAACCAAGATGTTATAATTACAATATAATCAAGAGAGTAAGGCAAACAGACAATGATCACAAAAGAGAATAAGTGGAAGAGCTTACCCTTGGGTTGAGCTCACCAGAAGATACCAAAAGAGGGGATCTCCAGAAGAGATCCTTCCCCTCTGGTAGCCAGCTCTTAAATAGGTCCAGGAGGGGTGGAGCCTGGCTCCACCCCTTCCGGCAGCACAGGTGAATTGCCTTCACCTGTGCTCCTCTGGCTGACTCAAGGCTCACCTCAGCTGATTAATCAGAGGTTCAGGCCGTGACTCAGCAGTTCCCATACAACGGGTAAAATATCTCTTTTGTGTTTGAATTCCTACAGTTCTTTTCAGAACTTTCCAGACCATATCTAGCATAGATTTTTTTTTTTTTTTTAAATGCTCCTCAGTGTTCTTTGGTTGTTTTTTCTCAGTCAACTGTGGTTTCAGTCATACATTTGAAATCACTTAAGGATAAATCCTACTGATATATATTGATCACTTTCAGTGTTGTCCAGCTCTGCATCTCAGTGGTTTTGCCTTCCTCCAGAGATTTTGCTTCACCATGTCCTAACAGCTTATATCCTAACAGCTTATACCATTCAAGAGCCAGAAAAACAGCACTTTTCTGTTCAGAAATTAAACAAGCTAACGGAACACAAACTAGCCAGTCAAGGAATAGGTTAATGCTATCAAGGAGCTCCCATATTTCTACCTCCCCGTGCTGTATACAGATTTCTGTAGTTATTTTGAACTTCAATTTTTTTTTCTCCTGTTCACACCCTCTGCTATTTAGCAATCGTTTTTTTTCCTACTGTACCTTATTCAGTTACTTTGTCTGTTTCCAGTCCTTTCCCAAGCAGTACTGTTATGTTCTCCAGTCTTTCCCCCAAACTTCGCAACTTCAATGACACTGCTATCCCACCTAAGAAAGACTTATCCTGCACACTACTATTCTTTAATATAACAGTAAATGTCAACCAAGCCATATGGATCTCAGTGGGTATTTTCAGTGCTTACCCTGCAACTTCAATTTTTCAAATGGAATGTGTAGATTCCTAGCATTACTCTAAACAGATATAACATCTGCTCAATGTGCTTTATGTACTGAAAAGAAAAAAATGAAGTAATTTTAAAGTATACATCAAAATCTACATACAAAAATACCAGATGATTTATAAAATATGTAATGTAACTGTTTGGTACAAACCGGGACTACAGAGGCATTTGTAACTGGTTCCAACACTGCGACAGATGCCATGTGCACAAGGATTCAGAGCACAGAAGTCAATAAGCTGAGCACACGTAGGTCCTGTAAATCCAGAACTACAACTGCACGAGTAGACAAGTCTATCTGCATAACAAGTTCCATTGTTCTGGCAGGGATTTGATGCACAAGGGTCTACTTTTTCTTCACAGGAGATTCCTAAAAACCCTAAAAGAAATAAATGTTTTTGATAATTAAACATTTTGGTAACCAAACAATTTAAACAATTAAACAAGTTTAAAATTAAGCCATTGATATACATTCATATTTTTTTATTGAATGAAAACTAGAAAAGTCCACACTTCCTATATAAACTCAAATTTTACAGTTAACATGAAGATATAAGCAGTTTCAGGCAGCATCATACTATCATGTGATTAAGACAGAGAAGTGAAAAAAATATTTATTGAATCTGGCAGGGCTTATCCACATTCTTAACTGCACCTGGCTAGAAAAGCAGAGGTGCTTTTCTAGGGATCAGAAACAGAATAGAAAGGTACATTAAAAAAATAAAGAGAAGCCCAAATTCACTTTTCTTATTAAAGGTAATGTGTTGGTTAAGAATAACAGCCTCTAAAGGACCACAGGAGTATAACTGTGTTTTAATAGCATAAAAGAATAGCTTTTCTGATGACAATGTTTCTTATTTAATTATTCATTAAAGCAACACTGTACAAAATTAGGTACGAATGAAAGAGTATCCCTGCAAGGGAGTTACTTGTTTTTTTGTGTGTTTTGTTATTTGATTGTGGGTGTTTGTTTTGTTTTGTTTTTTTTGTAATGTAGAGAAGAATGATATTTGAAGAAATGATAGAACTACAGTATATTAACTATACAGTTTGTATCACATCCACATGGTTACAAGAAGCATAGTTATAGTAGCTAACACAGGTCAGAAAAGAATATTCAATTCCTAGCATTAGATTAAAGATCAACTCTTTTCCATTCAAGTGTAATTTTTTTAATGAATATTTCCTCATGGAGATAGTATCATTCATTGCAACAGAAGTATGCCTGGTCAAAACACACTGGAATATCTACTATGGTAGAACAGCTCTTGAAATTTAAATAAATTAATCATTGAGAATGGCAAACCAGGAGCAAATCAGGACAGTCCCCACTTGAGAACGATCAAGCCAGCAAGAAAATCTGCTCTAAAGCATAAACCATAACAGTTGTCACTGTGAAAGGCAGAGAACAGACCCCACTGTCACAGCAACCAAAGAGATCACAGCCACATTTCAGATATCCTTCAGAATCAACTGCATGTACCAAAGCTTTTAATCAGAAAGAGACAAAAATAGATTTTTAAAAAAATGCACAGCATGTGTCTGATGGTTACAGAAAGGATCAAGATGGAGGAGATGGCTCTGTTCTAAACCAACTCGGAGCATGAAGACAAATAATGACAGGTGACACTGTGGATTAATATTCAATCTGTAAATCTTACCCCTGATGAAATGAAGTAGATTGTTATCCATATTTTATAGCTCTTATATTTAAAAAGTCTCAATGTTGTATTTAAAAGATGATCAATTGGAACTGAATCTCTGTATGATATAAAGTTTAAGATGAATACCAAAAGTGGGTCAAAATGCTACCTTCAATATATACTTTACAGCATCTCATTGTCTTTTAATGGATGTTTAAATATTTTTTTTCTAAACACATTCCACATTTCAATCAATGAGGAAATAGTTTAAAATTAATTTTAACAGATGTGTTAATTTCAGAGCTTTTTTAAATTTCTCTGCTTTTTAATAATTCACAATTCACATTTGGCTGAATTAAGTAGTAATTTTGTTCAATTGTTGTCAGGAAATTGGTGTTTCTGAGAAGAAGCACGTTAGAAAGTAGATCAATCTACATTAAACCCGTATGGTGTACTAGAAAGAACTATTCCAAAAATTAATAAAACACAGATTATTATAACTATGAAAAGATAAAAAGATCACAACTGCCCAATAGTTGACTATTAACAGTTAATTATAAATAACTCGTAATCTCAGAACAGGAAACAAAAGCAGATCTTGCAGGGCATAGGCAACGAACACAGGCAAGGCCCTTCTGCCCTCAGCATTCTGATGTCCTGTTACTCAGATTGGTTTGTGGGTTTTATCAGTACCTCCTGCATACTGATGCTGAAAAGGAACAACCTATAAACGAATACTGGGGAATCCTATAGTAGAAGTCCTTCCTGCAAGCAATAACTGCGTAACCATCAGAAAGTGAATGGAATGGAAAACCCTAAAACCAAATTTCTAATTCCAGCAATTGTCTGCTATTAAATTGAAAAAGCCTTTGCTTTTATCATAAAATCCTGGATGGATTTAAAGGAATCTGCGAGGACTTTTAACTATTACCAGGAGGAGATCAATCAGTGAGTTTAGTAAATCTCTACAGTAGCTCTGAAGCTAGATTTTAAAAGATAATGAAATCGGAGGTCACACAATGATACTTACATTGCTTCACTACAACCTTTGCAAAGAGAAGCATACTGGCAGATGGCTAATGTTTCGAGTGACAGAGCTCTTCAAGAACAGAGGAAATTTTAAAATACGCTGAAACGTTGCCTTCGTGCTACCTTTGCACTGTGAAATATGCTTAGTTCATTCTGGAAATACAGATCTTATGTATGAGTTTAATGTCTGAAAACTCTAGAATCATCAGTAGTTATGCATCCAAATTAAAGATGTGTTATTTTGGCATTTCTGGTAGTAGATATGTGTCCATATAAATAAAATTGTTGAAATTATGTAAATAAAAATCAGGATCAGATATATATTGATTGAAAGCAGAATAAAGCATTATTACAGGATTACATTTAACCGCAGAAAATTATCCCTTGAATTGTTCTTCAGCTAACTGACACAGGCACAACCTTGCATCTAGGTCACTGGTATAACAGGGACACAACTAAAATGCAGAAATAACACAGAAGGCAAAGGGGAAAAGCAGCCTTAGAAAACAATTATACTGCTCGAAGACACAAAGCACTATTTGTGCTTGCATGAAACAGATCGTTTGGTTAGATGTCAAAGAGAATAAAAGTTAGCTGTCAGGTGGTATTCTTTACATATTGCTACAGACCTCCAGGGCAACAATAGAAAGTAGATCAGAAAATATTTCCAGAGTTAGAAAAGCTCTGGATAGAAGCCGAATTCCTCATCATGGGGGGATTTTAATTACTTGGCTACTGAAAGCAGGAGTCAAGTAATAAATCAAACAACTTAAATGCTTCCTGAAGAGTTGTAAAATTGCTCTTTATACAGCTTGCTGAACAACCAGCTTGCCAGAATGTTATGTTAAACCCAATTCCAAGAAATACACAAACGTGAAAATTTAAACTTCTGAATTACTAGGCCTAGAGTCTACAAAAACCTTTAGATCTGAAAGAAATGCATTACTTTCCCCCATAGAAATTTGTTCCATGAAGAAATGTGAGACGTCTGATGGAATTTCATCAAAATTCTGTAAAGGAAAAAAAAATTACTCATCATAAGAGAACAAGAAACAATTCAAAAGGACTTGCAAGTTTTTGATGGAAATTCACCTAGCTAAGTCTCAGCAGATAAAGGCAAACAGAGGCCAAACACATTAAAGCATTGCAGCGACATCTACTAAAAATAGGAGCAATTTGGAAAAATGCCAGATAAAAGCATTAGATTAGCAGAAACTGAACAGCCATAAAAATTTTTAATTAACAACACAATATTCTACAGGTAAATTAAACTCTCTTATGGTAATGTGAAGAACTCCACATTCTGTAATCACCAGTAACCTTGGGAAATCTTACACACACAACAGCTGTGTATCCTATTTTCCTGGAATTAAAATATATAATAGGTTAATTATATTCAACCCTAAAGAAATTAGAATCGCATTTCCAAAATCTGATCCAGAAAAATCTTCTACGTGAATGATGAAGTCCAGAAAAAGTGAAGAACATAAAACTAAAACAATTCTTCATATAGACAAGTGAATTATTTTCTACTCTTCACCATATTTCATGGTGAAAATGTGCACTTTCTAGCTGCTATTGCAAATCAACATATATGAATCACAACTTAGCATCTTCTATAGTTGTCAAGCTCTATACGTTTTAAACCACAGAAACCACAGTAAGAACATCCTTTAATCTGCTGCTTTCTAATTATCAGCAGGTATTTCATAGAACTTTTGCTGTCTTTTACATAGCTCTAATTCTCTGCAGCTGGTCAAGTCGATTGGCAATAGTAAAATAAAGTCAATTGGAAATTTAAATTTCAAGTAGACATTAAACTGTCAGTCATAACATAGTTTCCTGTCTACTTCTTTCTACTGGTTATGAAATCCATTATTGGAAAATTATTTCAAAAATATGCTAATTTGAATTAAGAGTTTTCTGCCACTACAGTCAAGCTGGCAAGCTCCAAAGAAAGAGAGTAGTAAACCCCCAAAAACCCCTAATAGGACTACAAGTTTTCCTGTTGATTAAGTATTTATTGTAAATGTTTTTGCTTATTTCCAACCTTGTTTTTATGTCTATGTTTCTATTTATTATATGTATATTGAACTCCAGGGTGCCTTGGGAATTCATATAATTTCTCACTGATTTAAAGATGTTGAAGTAACTGAATTTATAAAATGACCAGCAGTATCCTAATTAACAATATTACTTCCATTGCAGTGGTAGTTATACATAACAATAAGAGAAGGAAAATAAAAACAGGTATTTAACAGATTGATTTGGGTATTTACAGAATCATTTTGAATATAAATTTCAAACATCCACATCAGAGTTGACAGATGTTTACTTGGGGGTGTGATTAGAATTTTTGGAAATTTATTTGCATGGACATTTGAAGGCAGTATTTGCTAACTATGTAAGGTATGATAAAGATGAACACCGAGTAAGTAAGACATCCCAAACATCTTTTAAACAAATTCTTCAGTCTTTAGCATCGTTCAAATTCATTCATTCACAGCTTTGAACATAAATTCTGATTTGCTCTTAAATAAAGGGTGACTCATGCATTTCATATAACAATTTATTTTCTAGCATTTTTGACACATTAAAATCTATGATGCTTCACATAGAAAATGGAATCTTCAAGCCTAAAGAATTTTTCCTTATTAAAAGACTCTTAAGACAATAACAATGTCTAAATAATAATCATGAAATGTTCATATTCGATTTGGGCTTCTTTTTCAGTGCCTCATATCTCACTTTCGGTGTGCTTTCATATTCCTCTTTCACAAGTTGCAGATCTCATACGAAAGAAAAATGTGCAGTCTCAAGAATATTCCTCTCTGTTTCCATTTCATTCCATTTTCTGCCATTTTTCCCTTTTCCCTTTGTAGTACTTCCCACCTGCTCTTGTCTTTTTCTGCCTATCCACACGGAATCTCCAGTTTTAGTTCTTACACATGTATAAGCTCTCTGCCTACCTTTCCCCCACTGTGCTGAATTAGCAGTACAGAAAAAAGGCCTCTTCTCAACTAGCAATTGCTATTACGCACAGCAGGAGAATAGAAGCAGAGTTGGAGATCTTGCTTAAATTAGAAATCTTTCATGGCTTTGGTTTTCTCTGTGTGTGTGGTTTTTTTTAATGGAAAATCTGAAGACTCTAAAGATAGCAAATTACCACACCTGTAATTTTTAATTACCTACACTTTGCTTTATTTACAAAAATAACCACATCCTTCCAAACAAGATAGAAGCTCTCAAAATATGCCTCTATGAGAGAACAATGCATCAAAATGCATCTAGAAAAATCAACAGTGCCCTGGGCAACCTGATTTGGTGGGCAGCAACCAGTCAATGGCAGGGAGCTGGAATTGGCAGGGCTTCAAGTCCCTGCCAGCCCAAGCCATTCTGTGATTCTATCACAGGCTCAATCTAGAAAAGCAACTATTCACAAAAGGTGGCATGTGCTCAGGCAAGCCTAAGAATGATTTTCTCAGAAAATGCTCATTTCCAAGGAACCAAGAATAAGAAGTGTTCAACACTATTCTTCTGCGGAATAGTGCTGCCCAGTCTAGAAAGTGATTCCTGAAACATTCCATCATCTCCAGAGGTTTTTTTTCTATGTTAAATATGATTTTTACAAGGGTTGTAAGTGTATTTATGTAAAATGTTTTCTTGAGATGCCACAATATTTTTTGAAAGGGAAAATATTTATACCACGTAATCATGTTAGACATACAAATAAGTTATCAGAGTAACAGCTCCTTGCCCAATTCCATCCTGGCTCTCTAATGTGGCTGCCCATAGCAACACAGATATAATGCTGGGAGATTAGAATTGGTAACTTTTCATGCAAAGTTTCAGACAGGTGACACAAAAAGCACATTTGAATAACAATGAATTCTATGAGCAGACACTTTCTTCTTCTTGAAGTTGCCAAGTAATTTTTTCTTTCCTCTTGAAGGGTCAGAAATCCCACTGTATCTTTAAGAAAAATCCAGAAATCCTAGAAAATCTCAAGACCTCAAGAATAGGAGAGCACAGGTATGTAAAATGTAATAAGTACAGAAGAGTCAAAAAAAATAAAATAAAATAGCAGAAACCTGAGAAAATGGTACCAGTGCTGTCCTAAGGTAAAACAGCAACAGCCTTCAGCATATATACTAAGATAATGGAGCAACAGTGCCAAGATTCCAAGATTTGCTACTTGAAGCACAGCATAGAAGAGAACTGATCTGGAAACTGATCAAACATGGATCTGGATCAGTGACAAAGAAAGGAAGCAGAAGATAAATACTGAAGACACAAAGCAGTCAACAAGACTGTAGGACCAAGCAGCGTAACAGAGATATAGCTGAAGACAAGTAAGACTAAGAGAGAAGCAAAAGTAATTTGGTTCTCCTGCAGAAGAAAGCCTGCCATAATCAAGAACACTGCACATCAAGCAGTGGCACATCAGCAGAGGGCAGTCCATCTTGGGACCCAAATGCACATACAATCCTGTCATCATGGTCTCAGCCTCAAAGAGCAGTAAGGGAAGTTGAGAGCTGGTTGGCGTATTGATGAAAGGGCCAACAGGAACAAGCAAGGAGGCCCTGTCGCACACACAAACAATGTGGCAGCTTTAAAATATCCAAAAGTCCCAGTATAATTTTTTCCATGTATTTTGTAATGGCAAAATATTTTCCTACAAGGCATTTTTAAAGACAGTGAGCAGTTTTCCTATGAAAAATACAAATGAATTACTAAGTCTAATACTGAAATTTTCTTTTCTGAATTTTGTTACTAGTTATAAGCTAGTTTTCTAAATTCTTCCAAATGCAAGATACCCTCTGCAGCCAAAATGTCAATGTCTGTGTTTCAAAACAGTTGTTAAATGGGTCGATCATCAAAGCATAACTCCAGAAAAGCAAGGAATCATTCTGAAGAAATTACAAATAATCTTTCATTATTAACCAAGTATACGTTACCAGAATAGTTCTCAAAGACTTGTACCCTTAGAGCAAATGCGAGTTGCTGGCAGAATAAAAACATCCATAGAGATCAGAAATATAATTAGTTCCAAGTTCCAATCCTAATTATAAATAACTAATAGAAGATTTCATAATTGAGAGCTTTCACTTCTGATAATTTTTTTATGAGCGACTCAGGCATCTGCCATTCCACACAGCAAAGTGCTATAAAAGCACATACTTTGCCTTTGCAATGTCCTCATTTCACACAGTTTCAAATATGGTGTTTTCCAATGAGAATCACTGAAAGGCTTATCATGCAGAGAAAAAAATAAGTCCCAACAGGAAGGAGAATGAAGTAAAACTTTGTGGGATTTAAACCACTGTTTCTTCTCTAATTGATTCATAAGCAGAAATATGCAAATACTGCATGCAAGGCAGCTCCTCTCACTCATTTACCGGACAACACAAAAATCAGAATGAATTCTGAGTTTCCTCAGATTCTCTTATCTTTCTCACAGTGCTGGAGTCTGACTTCTACTGTAGAGGTGCAAGCAAATGGATAAAAATGCTCGATGCAGCATATACTCTATAACACTAAGCTCTTACCATACTTCACACAATACAAATGACATAGGATATCTCATCTGGATTTTTTTCTGCTTATTAATATGGTGTAAACTACAATTTTGAATATATTTTTATAAAACTAAAAATTCAGACTGAGTACACCATGAAATATCAATTTGTACAAGACATCAAATGAGTCATTGTTTACCTTCTGGGCACTGACAGGTGAATCCATGGATGTTGGATGAACAAGTGCCTCCATTTTGGCATGGCTGCTGGATGCAGTGATCAATCTCTGACTGGCACAGCTCTCCGGTGTAACCTACAAAACAGCACACAATATTCAGAAAGCATAGGGAAAACGAGATCTTATCACTAAATGGTAACTTCAAACAGTCCTAATAGCTTTCTTGAACAAAATTAACCACAGTAATGAATCAAAATAGAACAGTCTTCTAATTTCTTGTAAAATGGGGTTTTTAATAAGAACTTATCCTTCACAGGAGAAATAAATAAGTAGTGGAAATCTAGAGATTATATCAAATGTATTTTACTATCAGCAATATTCTGACTAGCATAATGAAGGTTGGTGGTGGGTTCTCATAAGGACTCACGTAATCAAAAAAAAGAAGTTCTTTATGAATGGTTTTCAAATGCATCTTGAATCTCAAGTGAAAAATCTTCAGGAAGACTTTAAACTGGACTTGTCATCTGAATTAGCTGTGCATATGCTGAATGACTGCCATTTGTTCCTACTTCTGCGCTCTAGAGAGGGTGTTTATTTTAAGTGGGAGTTGTGAAGTACAGTTGCAATCTCTTCCAAATAAGCTCCTACAAGTTCACAAGCTACAGATTGTGTGTACTGTACTATTTGACCATAGATTGCTTTGTTCCATATGTTTGAAGTCTATAATACATCAAAAAAAAATGAACAAAGATACAAAATACAAACTAAAAGATTAAACACTCCAAATTTAAATTCCTTAATGAATACCACACATTCCTCATTCCTACTTTTCTTTACTTCCAAAAAACTATCTTGGATGCATGACAGAAGAAGAAAGTACACACAATACACATAGGTACTTTGTTTTTTAAAAGGAACCCTACATAAAGTTATAAGCCTCCTCAGTAATAGCACCATGGCTGGTGTTAAGGGTCAGCAAGCTGATGCTGCTAATACACAGCTAAGGGCAGGCGCCTAAGAGAAAGATCTAAGGTGAGACATAGGACGTGCTTGGAATAAAATTTCACTTATGTAGGAGACAAAGAAGGAAAAGAAGAAAAAAGTAAAAAGAAAATGCATGTTTTGATTAAATAATTTTTTTCACGCAATCAAAGTCAACACTTTAGAAATCTTTCAGACAGGCTAATAGTTACATCTTTTCAAATCAATCAGTGTTGCCATAAAGTAGATCTCAAAATAGATTGTTATACTTTGAGTTTCTAGAGTAGCACTATAAAGAAGGATGTCTAAGGCATTTCTCTTTGTCTACCTTACTGCTTTTGTATGCTACAATGATCTACATTCTGATCCTATTTTCTGCAGTGTGATACTTTGAGAAAGAAACTTGTATCTAGATTGTCAGCTGTAAGTCAGATAAACTTGAGAGGAATAAGGACATCTAAAACCAGAACTGTGCTCTTGTGAGGCAGCTCCTCTGGACTGGATGAAGGCACACGGACAGACCTAAGCCATACTTTTCACAGCCAGCAATTTTCTGTAATTCTAATTGGTCTTAAATTAACATAAAATTTATAACAACAAAAGAGATACTATATAAGACTACATCAACTGATTTGTTTCATCTATAGGTTTCATATTTCCAAGTTCTGACATTCAGCTGATTATTTTATGAATTACAATACAGAACTGGGTGTGTTTAACTCATTTAAGCATTTTTTCAGTCATCAAACTGCTTTGGAGTTTGTGAAAGCTAAAAATTATCCTGAAATTCAGTGTGCTTCCAAAGGAATGTTGGCACAGAAAAGCGTGAATGATTGTGTTGCTCTGAAGCTTGCTGACTTCCTGTAAATGTTACTATAGCTTGAGACAAAATTCAACAGAGATAATATTTTGTCAGTTTTATGAAAATAAATATGCTCCATCTTAATATGATCGAGGTCATAAAGCATATCTTGCAAGATCCAGAATGTAATAAATGGAGTTAACTATATTTGTCTTTTCAATTATCTACATAGAGACTTGATCATGCTGTTATTCAGAAGGGAAGTCTTTATATATAGAAGCTAAATAGCTTAATTCCATAGACTGTAAGGTTGTGTTCTACCATGATAAACAGGAGGGATTTTGTAGAAGGAAGTATTTAGACTTTTTTTTCCATAGGAGCTAACATTTTTTGCAGAGACAAGGAGAAGAAATAGTTATGTAGTTAAAAAGGCAAAAAACTAAATTTTAGAGAAAAATTTTAAATGGAAAGGATTAAAAGAGTTTAAAGAAATAAAGATGTCAAAGAAAATTCAAAATATATCCAAAATATGTAACAGAAATATAGTTTGTTCAAGAAACTGTTGTGTTCTCAGTCACTGTTTCCTTTCTACAATGCATCTCACAGTATCAACACAATGTTTTTTCTACACAGTGTTAACACTTTCTCAGACAAGTAATTCAAATACTTGTCCCTGACAGAGACTTCTTTAATTCATGGGAAGCCTTTGAAAAGTGAAGACGTCAAATGGTAAAAAATAAAGCAAGCACTTCATGCAGGTACCTGGGATCGTAACAACAACAGCAATATCTTGGGTTTTTACATGGTTACAGAAATAAAGTAATATTTGCTGCATCAAGGCACTGTAATTTGTAACTTCACAATAGAAGCAGGAAATACTGCAGACTTAAATATAATAACGGAAGCAATAATCATCTTTGGAATCTTGTAGCTAAGTGGAAAGCATATTTATGTTACTGCACGAAGCTTAGCCGTAAAACTTCAAAACATTAAGTTTTCCTACTGGAAACATTCTTGGGGCTTTCAGGTAGGCACATCACAATTCTCATAAATATTCCACCTAAAGCTTTTTTTTATGCAACCAAAGCCAAGAATTTTGAAGTATTTTTAAAATATTTTATATGAAGATCAGAAGGTAATAATCTAGCAAAAACTCTGATTTTATGAACTGCAGGTAGGCTTCCTAGGATTATGCCTGGATTTAGAATCAAAGAATCACCAAGGTTGAAAAAGACCTCTAAGATCAGCTAGTCCAATTGTCCACCTAGCACCATTATTTCCCCACTAAACCATTCCCTCAGTACAACATCGAAATGTATCTTGGACATCTCCAGGGAAAGAGACTCCATCATTTCCCTGGGCAGCCCATTCCAGTGCCTGACCACTCCTTCAGAAGAGAAATTTGTCCTCATATCCAACCCAAACCTCCCCTGGTGCTACTTGAGGCCATTCTCTCTAGTTCTATCACCAGTTACACAGAAGAGGCCCATTCCATTTCTCCTAAGGTAGGAAATGTAAAAAGAGAAATTTAGCCAGGACAGGAATACCTAATGCAGAACAACTTCCGAGACAGTTATCTCAATGAATACATAAATTGAACATATCCTGCATGTTAATTATTTTTTCTAATTAAAAACTACTTGTCAAAATCCCAGAGAATTCTGAATCAGTCACAGTCAATGTGACATTAATTGTATGGACTGTTTAAATATTTCCAACTTGTTTTACTCTGATCTTTTCCCTCTTGAATTTAAATTATTATTCAGCTATGTTTACGTATGTTGTTAAAGTAACAGTTGATCCATTCACGTATTTACAAAATTAGAATAGATTATATGTGCATAATAACTTCATATCTAATTTTTGGAGCAGTATAAATCCATGTCCATGTAAAAATACAAATATAAATCATTTCTCTGCTGCCCGTTCACTACAACGACTCTTAAGCAAAGAGAGAAAAAGAGAAAATCCGAGAGGCATAAATAAAATAAAGGCATAAATCAAAACAAAGTGTTGTTTGTTTACATAATTTTAATCCACACACCCAGCTTTAAAGTTTATTTAGATGACAACTTAGAGACAACCGTTGGAAGCCTGACCAAAATATCCATTTCTCCATCTGCATTTTAAGGAATTTCTATACTGTAAGGCTGAGGACCTATTCCAGAAGTACCTTCCATTTCTGTTTTTTTTTTTTCCAGATAAGATCCCTGAAATGTCAACTGTCCAGTAAGTGATCTCATAACTTATCAGCCAGTAAATTGCTCGCTTTTTCTACAAAAATAAAAAATAAAATATGTGTAGGAAACAAAATAAATTACCTGATATTTATTTAAGTCTAATAGTTTTATTGTTACTTTACTAACTTTCTTATGTTAGTTAAAAATAAAGTAATTGGGCTATTATAACTGAGCTTGTCTTTGAAATGTAAGATTTAAGATAGCATTGAGTTTCCTGTAACAGTCACTTTGTAAGGTTCTTTTCTTCCATCAGGATGTGACATTAATTTACATTCCAGCTTTTAACTATTACTGTCATATTCAGTTTAATTTTAATTTCAATTAAATTGCTATTCTCATTTGATCAAATTTCTATGGCAAATGTTCTTGAAATAACTTCAGAGAACTCAGACACTTGATGATTAATCAAATCTACAAATTACTAAATTTAGTTTATGCATTTTTTAAAAGTTTTCAAAGTTTAAGTTAATTCTGAGGAACAATTCAACAAGTGCAGTTTATGTTAAGGGCTTTTCCATGTCACTCTGTGAGTGAAGAAAAGAATTTACTAGTGACAGTGAAGGAACATTTATTGAAAGGTTTGATATGTTGTATACTTAAAATCTATACTGGGGGAAAAAACAAATAAAAGTTGACAGTAGACAGTAGACAGCAAACTAAATAATTTTGGTCATCTCACTAGGTAAAGTTCTATTAGTTCTATTAGGTCCTGCAGGACAAGAAAGATGCAGAGCTGTTGGATTGAGTCTAGAGGAGGACCACAAAAGTGTACAGAGGGCTGGAGCATCTCTCTTACGAAGGTAGGTGGAGGTAGTTGGGATTGTTTAGCTTGGAGAAGAGAAGGCTCCAGACAGACTTCACTGTGGCCTTCCAGTACTTGAAAAGAACATTTAAGCAGGAGGGGAATGACTTTTTACAAGGTCTGATAGTGTTAGAACAACAGGAATGGTTTTAAATTAGAAGTGGGGAGATTTAGGTTAGATGTTAGGAAAAAAAATATTCAGAGTGGTGAGGCACTGAAACAGATTGAGAAGCTGCGGATGCCCCATCCCTGGAAATACTCATGGCCAGGCTGTATGGGGCCCTGGGCAGCCTCATCCAGTGGGGGGCAGCCAGCTAGGGGCTGGAGCTCCAAAATCTTCGAGGTGTCCTCCAACCCAAGTGATTTCATGATTCTATATGAATAATTCCTTCACAATGGTTTTGGTTTGGCTGTACAGTACTGTGCCTCTTGTGCCAATATTCACAGCTGAAGAATTTTCCAGCCCTTTAAAGCTGACCTTATGTTGTTTTATTTTCCCTCTTTCCTACGGTCTGAAGATGCACAGCTTGCTGCTCTGCAAAAGATATGCTCCGAATGTTAAAACAAAAATGCATTATTCAGAGCACAATACGATACCCACCAGGCAGGCAGCTGCAGGTGAAATTGTTCCCGTTGTGTTTCTGTGCTAGGTCGGTGCAGGTTGCGTTGTTCTGGCAGGGATGGCTTTGACAAGCATCAAATTCCTCACACAGGGGGCCCCAGTATTCATCCTCGCACTCACAGAAAAACGTTGCCTAAAAACAAGCACAATTTGCACTCCACAATGAATCTTCAAAGGTTATATTTTCATTGACTGCTCTATGAACAAGAATGTTTCTGCTGCTATTCCATTCGAAACACAAGTAGCTGACATAAATACATCAAATGCATGAAGTTACCATTTGAAATACTAAACCTGCACCAGTTCTTCAGGTCAGATTTTTAATCAAGCCAGGGAATCTCCACCTAGACATGGATCAGATCCACGATGCCTAAATCAGTATAATTTTTTTCTTCCATTCCAGAAATTGTATTTTTATAGCAGTTTGATTACCAAGATTTGTAATGTATAGATTTACCACACAAAACCCTGCTACAAAGGAGCACCCCCTATGGGATGAGCAGTGCTGGGCTCACTTCAGGAGACACAAGCCAATCTGGTTCTGCTAAAACACCTATCCTCCTGAATGTATTTAACATCTTTTCCAAAACTTGCTGCTTTTGCTGCATAATGAAAGATTAAGAGCTCTAGTCCTGTTAAAGAAATAACTGTCATAGGTACAGCGTGATATTCAGTATTTTTTTTAAGTAATAAAACTTAATTAATTTTTTAAAATATTTAAATTGCCAAAGATGCGTTAAAGGAGGGAAGCAAAGAAAGCTCTCATCTGATATATCCATTTAAGTCAAATGCCCCCTTCCTCTGTTCATTAAGCACTAGGTGGCAGCCGCACTCACTCCTGCATTTCCCAGCCCCATCACTCGGCTTCGATGCACACAGCTGGCCCAGGCACAGATGTTGCAACGCAAAGCACAAAACGTGCATGGAATCAGAAACAAAAAGGCCAGGTCAGTATTTTATTTTCTATTTTTGCTTCTGTTTGCTTCATGCAAATAAAAAGCTGTGTATTAGGAAGAAAAAAAAAAAAAAAAGACAATGAATTTCATACAAATAAAGAGATGATAGTCAGTAAAATGCAGTACTTTTTTCCTTAAAAATACTGCATTGATAGAGTCTAAATAACAATTAATGTTATAATAGAATCATAGGATCATTTGATTTGGAAGAGGCTCTTACAGGCCATCTAGTCCTACTCCCTGCAGTGAACAGGAATACCTGCAGCACCATGAGGTGCTCAGAGCCCGGGTGCAGCCTGGCCTTGAATATCACCAGGGACGGGGCTTCCACCACATCTCTGGGCAACCTGTGCCAGTGCCTCAACACCCTTATTGTAAAAAATGATAAAAACATTTTGCTTATATCCAAGGAAATATATATTGTACATCTCCAAAACTCAACGTGCATGTTATTTATCACGAGTGATAGAAGCCTGCTCACAGAACTGCTCTGCATATATTTCACACCAGCAATGAGATGTTTCCAGAGTAGGATGTAGTTCAGTAGGAAGGAAAAAATAGGCAAACAGATGAAAAACCGCATCACTCATCATGGCAGTTTTGCTGTTATTCCATAACAGGATACTGGGCTGTATTTCCAGAACAGTTCCCCATATTTTAAATACAAAAATTTACAATATCAGAGCAGACAAAATGGTGCTACATAACTACATGCATGCTAAATCTTGCTTTCTTTTCCTTTCCTCCCTCTCTTATGAAGCATTTGGAGACCAATGCAGTGGCTGCTCTGCTGACAGAGGATATAGAAATAGTTTCAAAAGTGCCATGGTTTTCAGTGCTGGTGTAGATTATGCCCTTGGACTATAATACTGACACTAGGCATCCATAGGTAAAAACTGTACAACTTTTATGTACAATAAAGTTGTATTGTACAATAAATACAATCCCGATATAGATTCAAAGACAAAGGCATTAATAAATTGCATAGCCCATACCATGAACACTCTGTGCCATTCCTTATCATCAATACTACGTCAAAGTAATCAAACAAAGAAGTAGAGAAGAATTAAATTACACACTCATTTTCAACTCCAGTTTTAAGAAGTTTACATATTTCTCTGAAAAATTAACATTTTATGGTTTTTTTTTTTAATATCATTAAAGAAAATTTCTGGTTGTTGCACTGTTTTCATGTTTTGTCACTGATTACAAACTCACTGGAGGCATAAAATAATTTTACTTTTTATCCTACAGAAAAAAAGATGGTCTGGTCTGAATTATGGAAGTATCCCTCCCTACCAAAATAATGCTTTGGGTCTGCTTTGTCTTGACAAAAAAAGACTCTGAACACTCATGGTAATCCTTACAGAGAGTCATTTGAGCACAACAATTCTGTGTGATAAATACTTATTTTCTATTTAGGAGTATACTGTACTTTGGAAACAAAGTCCATAACCAAGAAGACATCCCTTCAGGAATACAAGGAGCTGGTGTTAATATCGACAAATAAAATCAAGTGGATCTACTCCCATGAACTTATAACCCATAAGAAGACATGGAAATCATCATTATTCAATTCGATTCCTTCTCACTGCAGGCAGATTTTTCTTTTTGTAAATATAAGTGGTTCTAACACTAGCAATAAAACTCTATATTTACACAGTCTGTTCTTCCACACTTTACACAAGAACAGCAATCTGCGAAAGAAATCATTCTGTCTCCATAGAACCAGAACGGTAGCTCTCAAATCTAATGGATGTCTATAGCTCACTTTAAAATCCTACACAGAATCAGAAATTCGTAACAAACTTCTCTCTGGATTATGATAGGATTTTTCTCTTCAATTCATAGCCAGTTTGTCTGAGGACAACTCATTCTGGTGAGAGTCAATAAATGTCAATTTGGTATTTATTTGGTGATAATACCAAGACCAGTATCATGTTTCTGAACATTCACTTTTCCGTTGTGGAAGAATGGCAAGCACAACAGCAAAACAGAGGTACTAAGCTCAGACAGAGCAAAGAAAAGGCATCACTTTAACACAGCATCACTTCACTTCAAAGAAGTTTGTTCAAAGTTGTGAATTTTATGTTCAGCATCAACAACAATTGAAAAAGAAACTGTCATTATGAGCTTACAATTTTATGTCCACATTCTATAACACCCAGCTCAGTAGAAGGTAAGCTACTTATTTACAAGCAAGAAATAACTAAAAACCAGCCAAGACTTCCAGGTTAGACCAACATTCATTTGTTTATAGTTTTATGCGCCTCACAGATGATAGTATGCCACTGCACTTACATTACTGCAGATTGTTAATTACATTTAAAGTTTCCATTATGCAAATGTGTTACTACTAGATTTGTTATAAAACTATGAAGTACATGAAAAAACAAAGGCAATCAATCTTCTCAGCACTGGAAGCAAAATGACTACAGCCAGCACAGCTCTGAGCATATTCACCACATTAGGCCTTTTATGAATTCCACTAAGAAGTTGCTTTGCATCCTGCAAGACTAGAATGTGCAAACTGAATGAATTATAGGTAAAAACAAATCACAAAGGGCATGTTGCAAACCTAAAGAAAATTAAAGTTTCTGTTCTGGATAAAGAAATGTAGAAGGTCTTGTGGGAAACAACTCAGCAGTTGGTTGGTACATGGCAGGCATATAATTTTGGCTGTCGTTTGCTTCATCATTAGGGAAACCATAAAGACATTTTATGATACATCTCCCCTAAGACAACTTAAACAATGGCAAAAACATCCTGTTTAATGAAATATACACCTTCTATTTTTAACTATGTTGCTCACGCTGGGCCTGATTCAGTTTCCCAGCTGAAATTCTATTATGCAACTAATACACTAATGGGTAAGGAAAACTGTCAGATTTGAAAAATCACTATGGCTGAATAGACAAAATAACATTTTTATTATCTTTGGAGTAGGAGTCTGGTCATAAATAAACAACATTTGGAAACAATGAGGATTTACTGAGTTGCCCCTTTTCAGAGCACAACTTGGCATAGGTCTGAAGAGACTGCAGAGGATCACTGGGAAACTTCATCATCTGTTCAAGGTAACAGTTTCTGACAGCAAAAATACATGTTTCTGAAGTTAAAATGTTATTAAAGAGATAGAACCCTGCTAATTCCAGTTCTTTGACTACTATTAACTGGCACATGCCTCTCTCAAAATGGACTTTAGCATGATTGTGATACCCCACAGCTTCAGCTACAGGAATGTCTGATTCACATTCTGTTATAAACTCTATCTTAACACATTGCGCTGTTACTGTTCCTCAAAACTGTGAAAAGATGGGAGTAATTTTAAATTCTCCTATTCATTTTCCAGGGAAGGAAAAACACTGTATGCTCAAGAGGGAGGTTAATTTATCACTAAAAGCTGGATACAATTTTCAAAGTCAGGATTAAAGGTGTGGATGTACACATACTGAGTTCCCTTTTCTCAAGCTCCCCTTTGCTGTCATGAAGCCAATTTGCCTTTCTTTTTAAAGATAACTATAATTTATTAAGAAGTAAAATTCCACATATCAGAGATTTTTGAAACACGGGTGATTATTAAAAACAAACTATGCATTTTCCTTATAAAAATATATTAATGCTTCTGCATAGATACAGGAAGTAATGTATATTCTCTTTGTGACGTATAGCTTGCAGTAAAATAAAGAAATTAAGGACATAAAAATGGACTAACAACAGGAAAAACATAACATTTGACTGTTTATCAAAGCCTTTAACTCTCAACATGACAAAAAATTGAAAAAGGAAAAATGTTTTCATATGCCACTATATATAGAACATCTGAACAATATATAGAACATCTGAACATATCATTTACATAAATCAAATTCAAAATGCTGAATTTCTAGAAAAATGGCAGATACAGGAATGCAGAAAAACTAAGCTGGATCATAAAATAGCATACTGCGTGAACAAGTTATTTGGATAACAGTCATTGTGTTCACATTACCTTAAGCATTTTAAAATTTAATTTTCAAAGAATAAAGATGTTAAGTCATTCCAGATGTTAGCATTGCCACACACAGATAGGTTACTGCAGCAACTTAATTATTGTTGTTACAAGTCAAAGCTGCATTTTTCTATCAAACATGCTTATTGAGAATTTAAATCGCAAAATGGTAGCAGATGAACTATTAGTGAATTCCCTAAATATGCCAAATTTTCTGTGTTCACAGCAGGCTCGCAGCTGTTAATATTTACTCAACAGCTACTATTGCTTTTATCTCCCAAATGAATGTTATTAAAACCAAATATTAGCTGCACATTTTTGTGCTCATATTACTTTATTAAAGTCAACATGTATAGAAGGCAGCAGAGAATACAGGCTCTTGATCATAGAATGCCAGTCTGGTTTTGTCAAAGCAGTATGCAGCATGGAAAGTTAACATATATGATTTTTTTGTTGTTGTTAGTAGATGGCACAAAAATATCAAAGCAGTCAATGAAATTGCTGCTGTCATTCTAATCTCTCAATATAATCTCTCAAGGAAAGAGCACATGAAGATTTCCAAACATTATCAAATTATTTCATAAATACACTGTTATTATTCAGTAACATCTATGGTTTTTGAAGTCTATTTCACAGCAGCAAGGTAGTACATACTAGGAGGACCAAGAACAATTTCCCTTGCATTTATATTGGCAGAAAGTTTCCAAATTATGCAAAGATCTTGATAAGTTCACCTTACCTCATCTGGTTTCGTGATACATTTTCCTTTCCCTGAACACTGGAATTTATCTAAATGGCTTCCCGCAGGCAGGCAGGTACTGACTTTCACTATCACAGTCAACCGTAAAGCCACAATGCACTTAGTAACTGAGTCATTCAAAAAACCTTTAAAAAAAGAAAAAGAAATCATTAATATATGGGGGAAAAAAGGTATATGGTAATACACAGTGATGCTCATCTGCTTGACAAACAATTGAATCGATCATGATTTCTCATATTCCATACAGTCTCACCTAAATTTAATGCATGTAAACAAAAATTGGAATAGAGTTTGTAATCACTTCTTATGATTAACAAAAGAAGAGAAGGCTGGTGAAGCAGATCGACCTGTAGGGCTAAAGTCTGCTTTCATTTCTCAGGTTTCTAATAATCAACCACTTTAGTCTGCTATCTTTTTGATCATTTATGTACTTCCCTAAGTACTTAATGGCAAGGAGTATTAAAATCAATCCCAGTGGAGGAAAACATTTATATAAATTTCAGCAGTTACTTAAAGTAGAACTAGAAAGCACACAGATCTTAAGCAGAATTACAGTGGTAAAAGATGGACAATCTCAGCGCTGCCTCTTTGATGGACTCTGCAATGACGTACTCCATTTGACAGTATTCCTTTCAGTATTTGCAATACAAGTTATATCTGAATGTCCTATCACTCTATGACATGATACTAGGTACTATAATTTTATGGAACTGAAAAAAGAAATTGTTGGTTGGAAGCTACTAAAACACACTGGAGCACAACAACATCCTTATCACCCATATTTCTAATATAAATATTTGTAAAATAAAATATCCTTAATTTTTTAAAAATATGACTGCAAATGGATGCAGGAAGCATATGACACAATGGTTTTTTTTCCTAATATTTTTTGTTCTAAATTCTAAAATTCATTTATGGCATAGGTTTCAAAGGAACTTTCAAGATGCAATAAAGCTCCTTGCACTACAGACTGGAAATTGAACAATATTTTCTCAACTACAAAAAATAATACAGTATTAGTATTTTACATATATATATTTATATATATCAGTAAGCACTTATAAGGAACAGTAATACACCAATTTCTCAGGAAACTGCTTGAAATTCAAGTAAATTCTCTTTCCAGAACAGCTGCTGAACATTACTTACATTCTGCATATGAAAGTCTGAAGAGTGACTAATTATACAAATTGCAAAGCAAATGATATGGAAAAATTCCACTGTTCTTCATTTTTAGATCTCACTTTTTAAAATGGTGCTTTCTTTGAACAATAAATTGTCTATACTAGAAACACCAAACCACGTCTTCAAAGCAGCAAAATCTCATACCCAATACAATTGTTATCAACTTGAATACAACTTGCATGAGTCAGTTAAATACTCTACAAGACCAGATTAAAACTGTCCAAGAGACAGTTATAAATGCCTAATGGTCTGTTTTACCCAATGGAAATTACTGTAATCTGCTGACCTCTTCTAAGAAAGCCAGTTTATTCTGGACTCAATGCATACCTCCTTTTTGCCCATCTGCTCTAAAATGCAGCCAGAATTATTTCCTTTAACAATTGAACGTGATTGTCACAGGCAGTCATGCAATTATATGTGAATGCTTGGAAGAATGCGGTATTTAGAAAATGTCTTTGGGTTCACATTTTCTTGTCTGAAGCAGATTGTTACGTATTCTTCAGGACAGTTCCCTAAAGGAATATCAAATCAACCTTCTTTCTACTTTGAGTGCTGTTCTATTTTGGTATCTAAATCCCTTAGGCAAACCACTGAAGAAGCCATTATTCTCACTGGAATGCCACACGTTTTCCTGTAATTTCTAATTATCTCACCTAATTTCCAAAGACTAGGAAGGTAACAATACAGCTATACATTTTTCCTTCTATAGAAGTTGCATAAACTTTCTGAAATCTTAAAGTTCCAAGACTAGAAGAGAGTTGCCTAATCATCTAAGTACGACTCCCTGCGTAACACAGGTTAATTAATTCCTTCTCCAATTCCTGTAACAGTGACTGAAGTAGAATAACTTCTATTTTTAACTTCTAGGTATGAGAATATTTTCAGAAGAATGCTTACAGCTCCTTTCATCTGACGTCTGAAGAAAAAGATTGAAGTTGTTTATAGCAAAAGGTAATTTTGTTCATTTTAATCGTACCGGCTTTCTAAAGCTGGTTAAAACATAATGACATCAGAGTACTTTGCGTTGAACAATTTGCGGTTGAGCTAATTACAGCAGTAACACTGAAACAATTTTAAAACCTAATAAATCAGGATACGATGTGACAAGTCATTTATATTGCAGAGGAGGCATTTTCAAGCTTTGTGCACACACAGTTGAGAGTCTGAGAAATGCCTGAATGATTTCATCGGCAGTACGCTGGGTAAAATACTACACTCACTCCATCCTGATAGTTCACCAACTTAATCCTAGCAGAGCAAGGCACACATGCTACTATTTCTCTTGTATCAAAAAGGTGAGAATTAAAAATAAAGAATAAAGCTTAAAAAAAAAAAGATGACAATATTATTTACATTCAGGTGCTTTTAGAACTACCACATTGTGCCATTCAGATTACCATTTTAACCTTTATCCGAGTCACAACGTATGATTTCTTTACACCTGTATTTAGTCCAGACTATTGAGTTAGCAACAGAATAACAAAGAAGTGACTACTTGGCTTGTGTAATCTTTATGCTTGTGCTATCTCTACACTGTGAAGACAACCACAAGCGCCTACTCTACTTATCATCATGCTTTTGTGACCTAAACATATAGTAGTAAACATAATTTAACTATACAAACCAATTTCCCTTTCTTACAATAGCATGTATCACTAACTCAAATAGTAGTTATTTATCTAGTAAATATCAGAGAGCTCAATCTTTCGAATATGTGTCCAACATTCAAAGACCCCAAAAATGAAGTATATCAAGCATATAATCAAAGCACAATTTGTGAAAATTTACCATTATACACTGAAATAACAGAAGCATGCTTCTGATTTGCAAATAGCCAGTCACTCATCATCTTTTCCATCTTTTCATGGTCAGGTCATTAAGGCCTACTATTACCCTCAGAGGCCTGACACTAAAACTGTTCTACTGAATCTGAAAAAAAATGGGTCAGGAGTCTTTTCCTGGTTTGTATTAGGATCGTTTTCATGCAGAAGGAGAAAACAAGTGCAAAACAGGTAGATAGTGACGTGCATAATCTTTGATGCAGTATTTCTGGGACATCAGTATCATAGGATGCTTGGACAGAACATCTGAGATCATTCTCTAAGAATACTGCTAGGTAACGTAGCACCAAGAGACTCAAATATACAGCTGTGATAACAGAACTGCTACTTTGCCCACAAATACAGGTATTTATAAGTGATACAATTAATCTAAGCTCCCAACCTCTATACAAATCAGTACACTTACTGTCTTTTGTCACAAATGCCTTGGTCAGCTACTGCTTTTGAATGGAATATATCACCATATTTCATTCCTATCGTGATAAATAAGCTTTAGCAAGAATCAGTCAAAGATCCATTTCAGATTATTTTTTTTTGCAAATGTCACATGAAACAGCAATTTTAAAAGTTTTGGAGTTTTTTTTTGTTGTTGTTATTGTTGTTTTTTTTAATTTTAAATAAGGGATTGCAAAACTCACTGCTCCCCTCAGCCCTTTACACCCATTAATATCACAGTCACACTCTGTTTGAAAATGCTTTCTTCCTTCACCACAAACACTGAAAAGTCACCCTAGATTCTGAAAATCAAACATTTACTCTGTTCTCAGACAATGACCATTACAGTGACAGAGATAAGCTTTATGCTGGTCAGGTTATATTCTCAGTAACGCTTCTGCACAGCCATAGGAAGCAGATTTACCATAATAGGCATACATAGGTACAACACAAAGCAAAACTGGGGTATAAGAAAATTGCTATCAAAACTTTGGGAACACACAACCTGACTTTCAAGTTGGAAATGAGTTTTGCAGGATTGACATTCAAAACAGATTTATTAACTGAGCAAATTAGTTGGGTATAGTTAGCATACAAAAATCCCTAGGCAGATTGATTCTTCTCTATAACAAAGAACAATTTCAAAATGTCACTGTTGCTAAACAATTAGTTAACAATTGATAATCTGACTGGACTAAAACCTATGATGGGATTATGAAATAGTTAGCTAGCAAGAGCGTACTTAGGAAAGTGTTTGCATACAGCTTACTAAAGAGATGTGACAGTAGCTTAGAGTGTGACCTACCACACCTTCAAGGAGTCTGCTGTTTACTGTCCAAGACAATCGTGAAAGAACAGCGTAAGGGTGACAAGGCTGATCTACTCATAGATTTCCTATATCACATTTTCCCCACTGTGCTTATTTATCAGTATCTCTGAAGTGCTGCTAAGCTGGCAATGGACTATTCTGGGCACTAACACAGACCACCAGAATTTCTGATACCACACCTTGCAGAAGCAATAAGAGCAATAGAATGCAAATGGCATCACTGGGACTGTGGGAAGAGCAGCTGAGGTAGAACATGTGGGTGGCAAAATTAGCTAGGAAATATCTGTAGTGACTGACTCAAAAATAGTAGAGTGGCTACTCTATACTTAAATACACTGTGCAGTATGCTACACTACTAGCTGAAGATCTCAAAGCATGTCACAAGCTTTATTAAAATGTGCCTCACTTTCTCTTTTAAATTACTCATTAGTATCCTCATTTTACAGATCAGGTTAAGTAATTCATCTGAGATCTCACAGTGCCAAGAACCACGTGATCAGCTGAAGGTAAATATCTCCACAGTGAACTGGTCACAGCAGGTGTGAGCTAAAGAGCAAAAGTTATTTAGTTGTTAATTTAAAACATAACAATGTATCAAAAAAAAAAAAAAGGGAATAATCAAATGTTTGTACCTACATAAGTTCGACACAAGGCACATATAACTTGATCATGAAGAACAGGGCAGGATATTGATCTTCGTTACATTTATAAAAAACATCCTTTTTATATAGCAGAATAGCGTTTTCCAGAAGGTTTTTTTTATTACAGCTGGATGCTTAGCATTTTCCCTTATTAGGCCATCCTTTGAAAAAGTCTTTGAGATTAGCCATCATCA